GTTGTTATATTATGTAGGATAATTGGTCAGTGTCGGTTAGGCTTAAACAGTTGAGCTCAAACTTGACTTGTTCAGCCCAAACGATTGTAGGCTGAATTCTACCTTGGCAGATATGTACTTCAGCAATTCCAGAGAAAACATTTCAGTTGACTTCTGCAGAACAGAGAAGTATATCATACCTGTGTTGAGCCTGTATCATGGTTATCTAGGAATGTAACAGCTCTTGAAGGCCACCATCCAATTACACCTGGTGGCTTCCCTTGGGGGTCACGTAGGCGCCACAATTGTCCCTTAACAGCTTCCTACATAGAATGCATGTATAAATTTTCAAACACCAAACTGCGAAAGGGGGGGCAAGATAAGAAAAAAGAAGAAGAGAGATTTCCTTACTATAGAAAACAAACTAATATAACATGTTTGATGTGCATGAACGTTATTAAAATTTAGAAAAAGGTAACCACTGCTATGATATAGAAGACTGAACATACTTGAAACGGGTATTGATGGATTGCTTTTTTTTTTTTTGGTCAAAGATGAAGATTGCTATTTCTATAAAAAGAAAAGGTCACCAGTAATGTTTCCGAAACGTTTGTATAAATTACTGAGCACTAAACCATTGGCTGCGACTCATATCCCACTCTAGAGAATGATTGGGTATGTGTGTATAAAGGGATGGGGTGGCGTTGGATATCTCAGTCTGTTTGCAAATGGAAGATACCTGAAGAATTCCCTTGGTTGTGAAATCAAATGCAGTAGATAGCTGTCCTGCTCCATCAATCCAATTTATTATCCGCTGTCTGTGGCTATCTGCATAACAATATCAATCACAATAAAGATCAAACAGTAAGCTCAATGCTAAACCTCAAGGAGAAAGAAATTTGACCACTGAACCCATTTAAGACAGCATATGATGCCCATTAAGTTACAATACAAGTCAAATTGCAGGGAGAAAAGCAAGCCAAAGGAATGCTATTAGCAGGGCTAAGCTACCTTTTGTACATTAGTAAGCAAGCAGTGCAAACGTATTAAGTTCTTACAGCATATAATCCAATACCTTGGTTGTAATCCAAGCCATGACCATTGTAGTTGCAAGAATCCCAATACTCCCCAACAGAAAAAATTGGTTTTGCTCCTTCAATGTATTCTTTCACATATTTTGCTGAATAACTGTTGTAACATTGAGAAAACAAGGAAAAAAGAAAAAGTGTAAAAAATGTATAAATCCAAAAGACATGGAAAAGAGTAAGCAGTGAATAACCTGAATTAAAAACAAAACTTAATTTCAAGTTGGAATAACTTTTACCCCCTTGCAAAATCAAATCGAAAATCCTGAAAACCAACATTATTACGTAGCCACTGTAGCCATGCTGTAATATCTTTTCGAACAAAAAGTTGGGTGTGATCAATATTTGGAACTCCATGGAAATTGTCCCCAGTGCTTCGGTTACCCTGATATATAAAATACAGAGAAATTCAATAAGGTTAGTACTAGAGATTGCATCTTGGATCATCCAGAGTTGTTCAAGGCATGATTAATTTCATTACCAATCCACCGGTACAAGATGTGACAGCATGTTCATCCCATGACAATGAAATTCCATCATAGCGGTTGTACGTTCCACCATGCCCTTGGGTAGTTCCAACACGATGATTGATGACTATGTCAGCCATTGGTCTAACTTTATGTTGCTTCATTTTCTGAAGTAAACCTTTTAATAGGTGCTCAGATCCATACTTAGAATTGAGGGAATAAAGGTTCTGCGGAAGGTAACCTACAACATGAGAAGAAGACAACGAACATGGTGATCCAGACATCTATATTCTATATGCAGAAAGAATTAGAAACCAGCCTAACAAATTTTGCATCCAACCTTCAGGTGCGAAGGAATGGGTTGCTGGTGGCAACCATGCTGACGTAAAACCAGATCTTCCTATATCTGGAACTTTCCTTTCTAAATTTCTCCACCAATCATGTTTATGAGACTCCCAATTAAAGGCCTGTAGACATAGTTCTGTCAAACCATACGCTTGACAAAGCTGAGATCTATGATAACATTATGCAAATAAACCATCCTACCATCTTTACAATTGAATAAGTTACAATGAGGTGTTGAACATATCTTAATTATTATGGAAACTATCAAACTTACCTGAAAAAGGATTTCTCTTCCATTGCGTAGTGCTGCACCTGCATATGAATCCGAAAGAATACTTTTAGTGTCATGAAAGGGAAGAAAATATAAATATCCTTCATGAACCAAACTACCAAGTGTTAACAGTCATAGAAGAGAGCCCTTGATTCTTGAATTATGTTTCACTCTGCGGCCAGTACAATTGTAACTGGGAAATGTGAATCATAAGGCCTCCTTATTCCATTACCTCTAGTCCCTTATTTATGAACTGAACATTGAATCTCAATTTTTTAACATAAATAACAAGATGGCTTCCATTGCATGTGTCTTGATTATCATCGAATTTTTACAAAACTATATACCCTCAAATCATTATGTACTCTGTAGGTCAGGAAAGTATCTAAGTTATATGAACAAAAGATACACAACTATAGAGCCTTATCTATACCTACTCAACAGGTACAGTTTAATTCTTAACGTACATAATCAAAATTTATAAATTCAATTGACATGGTAAGTTCTGCCTTAATGTGTCAGAGAAAATTAAAGGAATGCATCACCAGGTGAAAGAAAACGCATACCAATATCAGTCTGCTGACTATTTTCATTTGAATCCTGCATTTCAACAAAATGAGAGATTAAATAAAAGAAAGGCGCCACATGAAAATTGGCCCACCATAATTCATATAGAACATAGTGGGCTCAAATCTTCAAATATGAAGAAACAAACTGTTCGAGTCTCCCAATCTTATGAGTGTGTGTGTCTGAGAGAAAGAGAGAGAGAGCTTGAGAAGACATGCATACATTGCCTCGGTAACTCATTTGATGTAGTTTCCCAACTTGTCACAGGATTGCAGAAGATAACGCACCAACACTTGTCCTACATGGATGAGCAACATGAGTGCATCAAAACCTTGGCAACAGGACATAAAAATTATAGTCTTGCTGATAATGGGCTCCATAAATGATTCCTTAATTTCTCCTCATAATTTCCAGGAACAAAGTCATACAGAACGAATGCCTGCCTATTAATTAAGCATACGTACATCTAAATTAAGTTTGAAAATTCTATTTGTCCTGTCTATACATCAGTTTTGGAAATAAAAATTTTCAAAAAGATTTCAAAACTCCAAAGAAACGGTATGGTTTCATATAAAGTGTTACATCAGCTACTCATACAGACCTTAATCAATCTAGGTGACATTGAAAATAGAACGCAGAACGGAACGAAAAGCCAGCAAAATTTGACATGGGAGAAAATAGAGACGTACCGGAGCTTTCCGATCGCGGTCTGAGTTTGTGGTTAAGCCCCTTGGCCCATAAATATACAAAGTAAAAGTTGAAAATTCGAGGGAGACCACTGAATTAGAATCAAACAGCTCAACGATAAGTTGAAAAGGTGATCAGGGAAATTTGAATTTGTGGTATAAAGAAAGAAAAACGATTCGATTGCGAAACCAGAGGACACGAGGAACTTCGAATATCGAAGAAAAGAGAAGAGGAAATGTGCTTGGTGAATGGGGATCGGATCTGAATCGTTGGGGTTGGCAATTGGTGCAGAGATGGAGGGAGGGAATGTTCATATTCAACGGTGTCTCTAAATGCGTGTGCTGTTTTGCAATTGCGCGGGTCCGAAAATGATGTGTTGGAGGTTTGGACGGTTATAATAACCCTCCCTCCAACTTGAAAAAAGTATGTTCTGTTTTTCTTTCTTTCTAATATATTGATATATAAAGAAGAAGAAAAAAAAGATATTTATGATTATGATATACCCATTCTTAGGAATGGGCATCAAAACCGGAATACTGAAATCATCCCGAAACCTTGCCAAACCGTGTCAATCTCGTGCTATCTCATTTGGTGTTGAAGTGTAAACGGGATGATACCGTGTCATCCTGTTACTGTTTGACACGACACCGATTCCAGATTTGTGATCCCATTTGATGCCATACCGTACTGAACAGTACCAAGTAAATAATAAAGAGATTTTCTATATAAACCCCACACTTCTCTTAGTTCACCTTATGTTTTAAGTTCACCCCAACCTTTAATTTAAAATTTCACAATTTCTAAGAAAACCCCACTATCTTCCCAAACTACCCTTAAATACACCATAAAGCTGAAAAAAAAATAAAAATAAAAAAGCAATCAACAAAGGGAAGAGAATAAGATCATTACAGCCAAACAATTAACAAGCCTTTCTATCAGCTGCCACGCATATTTTAAAGAGGTAGGCTCGTCAATGTTCTACGTCTTTAAAAGAGAAGAGTAATATGGCAATATGATGTAGAGGAGTTTGTATTTTTCTAAAACTTAATATGAAGAGTGGTGGGGTGTGTGAGGGTGTGTGTAGATGTACTAAGGTTAAGTATTAAGTTGTATGACATTTTTTGTCTTTTTACACAATAATAAAACTTACAGCTTAATGATTTAAGTATTTGGGTGAACAAAGAGAAGTGCGGGGTTTAAATAGAAAATCTCATAATAAATCCCAATTTCAGTTCCTCCTCTCCCATGACCAATTGACTCGAGCTTTGTTTCCTCCATCTTTTCTTTCCCTTTATCTATTCTTCTCTTCCCTTCTCCTTTCTCAATCATCGATTTGAAGCCATAATTCCCAAATCCTCCACTATTGATCGATCTCATCTTCTTCTCTCTCTCTCTCTCTCTCTCTCTCTCTCTCTCTCTCTGTCTGTGAACTTTGTAAAACTCTTGAATAATTGTTTGTTTGTATTATGCTTGATTTGTTTTAGGCTTGATTTGTAAAACCCTTGATTTGTATTAGGTTTGTTTTGTAAAACTTTATAATTTTGTGTTATGCAAATAGGTTTATTTTTTTACAATTTTTTTAACAAAAAAATTGCAGCCGTTGATTGGAGGACAAATAACGATTGGACAACCCAAGACAAGCCATTGGTAGAAATCAGGGCTAACATCAGCGCACGGAAGTTTTAAATTTTGTTACTGTTTAAAACCCAGGCATTGACGCCAGGCTGGCGTTAACTGCCCCTCGGCACAAGCTTGGACTCGTTTTGCCTTTGGACTTGACCAGTTTTCTGGGACCCACCTCCTGCTCAGGCTACTGAAGCCCGCTTGAAGCGCGATATGGGGCTTGGGCCCCTTCCTGCCCGGGCCAAATTGTAGCGGTGGAAGTGCTCTTAACGAGCTACAACAAGGGAGCACGCTGCCTCAGTTACGCATATAGCAGGGGATCTGAGCTCTTCAAAAAAATGAAAAAGGAAGTAAAACTGGTCTCGTTCTAGGGTTTTATCAAGGTACAGAGCCAACTGCAAATCTGCAATAGCCTAGAGAGCCTGTTTAAGTGCAATGGAGTCCCCAACCAACATCTACAAGCCCCACTCAGATCACTGAAAAATGGAGAACCCAGATACAAAAACCACTAGATCACCGCCGCCACAAGAACCAAACCTCAAGAAGCTCAAAATGTCGACCACCACCACCAGCGATGACGATGAAACCACCACCACAGACAGCACCAAAAAGCAAAGGTACAAGCGTCGAAAGGTTGCAATTTTCTTCGCTTATTGCGGTGTGGGATACCAAGGCATGCAAAAGAATCCAGGCGCCAAAACCATCGAGGGCGACCTCGAAGAAGCCCTCTACCTCTCCAACGCGGTTCCCGAGCAGGACCGCAACAACCCTAAACGCTATGATTGGGCCCGCTCCGCCCGTACCGATAAGGGCGTAAGCGCCGTCGGTCAGGTTGTATCGGGCCGCTTCTATGTCGACCCACCGGGCTTCGTCGACCGCCTCAATTCCAACCTTTCCCCTCAGATTCGGATTTTCGGCTACAAGCGCGTGACGGCGTCGTTTAACGCCAAGAAGTTCTGTGATCGGAGAAGGTATGTGTATCTCATTCCCGTGTTTGCTCTTGATCCCAGTGCTCATCGCGATAGAGGGAGCGTTTTGGCTAGTCTTGGGTCTGATAAGGAGTTTGTTAAGTGCTTGGAGTGCTCCGAGAGAGGGCGTAAAGTGGGGGGCTTGATGGGTAAGCGCAATTATGAATTGAGAGGGACGAGTTTTGAGCTAGACATTTCGTCGAACACCAATGAGTCTGTGGTTGACTCTGAGTTTAATGAAGAAACTAAGGTTTTTCCGGACAATGCTGGTGGTGATGATTCCAAATCTGAACCCAGAAATGAAATTAGCACTAGTAGTAATAACAATGTGGTTTCTGGAGTTGAGGTTGAGAATTCCGAGGAAACTGATTTGAATTCGGAGCCACTGAATGATACAACAAAAGTTAGTGTTGGTGAAGAGAACGCTAATGGAGAAGAAAAGCCAGAGAAGGAAAGTGGAAGTGAGTTTTGTTATGGTGAGAAGGAGAAGGATAGGTTCAACAGAATCTTGAATTGTTATGAGGGGACTCATAACTTCCACAACTTCACCACCAGAACTAAAGCTGCAGACCCCGCTGCTCAGCGATACATCATTTCGTTCAATGCAAACACCGCAGTTACAGTTGGGGGTTTGGACTTTGTTAAGTGTGAAGTTGTAGGGCAGAGCTTCATGCTTCATCAAATTAGGAAGATGATTGGGCTTGCCGTGGCAATCTTCAGGAACTGTGCTCCGGAGTCATTGTTAGAAATAGCTTTGCAAAAGTAAGTGGTTGGATGGTCATTGTTATTTTTATTATTATTGTATTGTTTCTATGTGATTTTTGTTTGAGATTTGAGAGAATATGCAATGTAATTTTAACCGAGTTTTATGCAAAATTCAGGGATGTTAACATCAATGTGCCTACGGCACCTGAGGTTGGTTTGTACTTGGACGAGTGCTTCTTTGCTTCATATAACCAGAAATGGGGAGACAGTCATGAAGAGCTGTCAATGAAAGACTATGAACAAGAGGCAGAAGATTTCAAGATGAAGCATATATACCCTCATATTGCATCCACGGAGCTAAAAGAAGGTGTCGTGGGTCTCTGGTTGCACTCTCTCAACCACCGTAATTACCCCGATTTATGCGCTGCTGCTGCTGCTGCTGACAGCAATGGAAACACCAGCAATGGAGAAAGTGTTGATGTGGGGAATGTCGCTGGGTAAGTTGTTTCACAGACAATCAAATCAATCTTCTATGTATGCCTTGTTCTTTCTTCAGCAACTGATTATACGGTCTTATGTTGTTCAGGGAAAAAAGTTGTAGTCCAGTTTCATTCATCGTATGAGTTGATGCTTGTAACTGTCTGTTGACAATGCGACTTACATGGTATGAAGAATTTTATAATTACGTTAGTTGCTGCTGCTGCTGCGTAATTTTTTCTTTGAAGACAAACTTTTATGATTACAGAAGGATTTTACTCCTTGAATCCTGTCCTAATCAGTTCAATCAATCTTTGCATTGAGGGACAAGTGAAGTGAAGGAGCTTTGCTTCCATGAATTTTAGCACATATTTCTCAATTTAATCCTTAAATATCCACCCTAATTTACATAGCTGATGGATTAGCAGTGCATAACTGGCCCAAAATTATGAGGCCCAATGGTCCTAGCAGCGACTTTCCCAATGGTCAACTTTCAGGGTTGTGAAAAATTATTTTTAGGTAGTTAGAAATAAATAAAGTGACAACACAATTGGTAAAGTTGAAAGGAAAGGCTTCCATCCAAACCCTCAACTTTTTGGGGGCGGGGTTGGAGTCGACCCGCGAAAATGGGGGTAGATTGGACCCAACTCCCACCAGAACTGGTAGAATCAATCGCGAAAAAGCTCACAATTTACGCGGACTACCTCCGATTCCGAGTGGTGTGCCACAGTTGGCTAGCCTATGTCCCCAAAACTCCGCAGCACCTCCCTCCTCAGCTCCCCTGGCTGATGCTCCCCCAATCCCAGCCCAACCAAACACACCGCGCCTTCTTCAACCTCTCCAACAGCAGAGTCCACTTCCTCCACCTTCCAGAAGCTTCTCATCGCAAGCGCCGTTGCGGCTCCTCCCACGGCTGGCTCGTCATCCTCCACGAAACCCCCACCGTCCTTCTCGTTAACCCTCTCACACGTGCCAAGCGCCACCTCCCTCCACTCTCCGCCTTCCCCAACGTTGTTCGCTTTGACTATTCCGAAGTCGGCCGTGAGTACGCGCTCCGATCCTCGTCTGGAGATGTCTACACGCGCAGCTTGGCCCAAATGCGCGATTCATTTCTGAAAAAGGTCGTCCTCTCTTCGAGTCCTCTGGAAGCTAGCGGTTTTACTGCCCTAGCGATTCTCAGTCAAACCGGTGACTTGGCGTATTGCAGAGACGGAGACCAGTCTTGGACTTTCATCGACGGCGCCCGATCTTTTTCCGAGGACGTCATATCCGTGAACGGGTTGTTTTACGCCGTCGACAGTAAGGGTGTGGTCGCGGTGTGTGACGTTGAGGGTCCGTCAGCCCCTAGGGTTGCGATTATCCCAACGCCGAGGCTAGAAGATGCCGCCGATATGCGATATTTGGTGAATTCGGGGGCCGATCTGCTGCTGGTCAGTCGGTATTTGGAGATTGAACGGTGGGATAATACAAATGTGAATTACAGAACGACGGGATTTGACGTTTTCAGGATGAATTGGGTAGGGGCGAGGTGGGAGAAGGTTGAGAACTTGGGCGAGAGGATGGTGTTTATCGGAGAAAACTCTTCGTTTTCATTGTCGGCGTCTGATTTTCCGGGAAGTGTGGGAAATTGCATTTATTTCACAGACGATTACTCGGAATCCAACTATGAGAGCGGACTTGGGGGATACGATTCGGGGATTTTCAGAATATGGGATGGAACAATTCAAGAATTGCCCCCTTATCCCAGGAATTCGAATTATGAGGTGCATTGGCCTCCCGGCTCTCTACCGCTTTGGGTTATTCCTAATCCATGCTGATGCAAGGCAGCAACAGCAAATTAAATGAAGCAAAGCAGGAGCTTCAATTCAATGATTCTGGTATGGTAATGTTAATCAATGGTTTGTGTTATTATATATGTGTATGTACTATATGTTGTTGATGCATGTAATGTAAGTAAGCAATAAATTCATTCTGTTTCTGTGGAGGAAGTGATTGTCTCTATCTAGTTAGTCATTCTTTTATGAGTAGAGTGACTGGTCCGATTGTGTAACTTATTGCACTAGAAATAAAATATTTGTTCCCGCAACAAGACTCTGATTATGTATGGTCCATCGTGGATTCGTGGGTTGAGTTGAAGAGCAAATCTAGGCAGCTAATCAGGGGACTAACTAACTAACTAGTCTTTGTACAATTTGAAATTAACCTTCTCAACAAAAGGAAAACCAAACTAAAAGAGTTTGTTTTCTTGTGTGATGAACCATCTCAAATAAGTGCTTATGCGATACAACGCATGGAGTACATGGACACAAAAGGAGAGTCCATCATGGACGTAGAAGATGTACAAGGTGCAACGTAGACCCTCGGATGGTCACTCTCTAACCCATAGTCCATCATCGGACGGTACTCCAGCTCCTCATCGTGATCGTACACAAACTCCGGGATCTCCACCTCATTCCTCCGCACCTGGTCCCACAAAAATTCCAGCCTCTTCACATACTTTAGCTTCTTGTACAACCTGTTCCAAAAATCACAATCACCGTTACGTTACGTTAGCCCCTGGTTTTTAACTTCGGTCAACGTTCCTTTCATGGGCTGTTTGTATGGAAAATGCTAAAACAAAAAACATCGAAATGATTTTATTACCCTGACTTGAAGAGGAGACGACCACAGGTGGCGAGGAAGAGTCTGGCCTGCAAACCCGGGTGGACAAAGTAAACAGCTTGGAGACGGTCCTTGAGGGTGATCGGAATAGCGTCGTAGATTGATCGTAGGGTCGAAATTCCAGGGAAGTTACCGCTGCGATTCACATCAGTGTGCAAATACACCACTGAGAAGGGACTTTCCCCTAAATTTGGGAATATTTTCTCCTCCAAGTAGTTGTTCACAGCCTCGTTGCTCACGCTTCGAGCTGAACATTTTGGAACATAACCAAATTACCCCGAAATTAACCAACAAATTAGTAACACGTACAATTTTAATCGAGTAATTAAATATAATTACCTGGAAAAAACCTTCCGACGATGCGGAGAACCTTTTGACCATGTTTGTCTCGACCTTGAATCTTAAAAACTTCAAGTTTATCTATGAGATGTTGCTGATCTGTTAGAGACAGTCTAGGTGTAGCAGTAGAAGGAGGAGGAGAAATATTCATCTTTGCTGAAATGAAGCAGAGTATTCTTAAAACGGAAAGCGGTGGGTGGTGTTGTGTGGTGGTCTTGTTTTGGGCTTTTGAGTTTTTAGAGGTAAAAAAAAGACACAAAAAATCAGATGATGCAGTGCTTTTGAAGTGCAGGGAGGGTCGAGTGAATGTGGACCTTCTCTTTGTTTATATAGTGGGGCGACCGCTGTCCCGGATAGGGTATGGGCCCCAGCGGTAGGGCCCACATTAAAGAGCGTGATAGATTGGATTGTGTTGATGAGGGGTATATTCTGATTCTGAAGAATCTTCCAAATGGATGGATGAATGAACCGAGTCTGATGAATCACTGCAAAATCTAACTCGGTGCACTGCTAGCTAGCCATATCACGAAGACCCTGCACTTTGCCAAGTTTGCCTGGCCTGGCCTGGCCTGGCCTGCCTCTCCGTGTATGGATTGGATTGGATTGAATTGATGATATTTGAATGATAACCAAGCAGCAGCATCTTCATCTTCATCTTCATCTTCATCTTCATCTAAGGAGGAAGGAATTGTGTGGTCGGGACTGTGACATGCCATGCCATATCTGTTCCTGACCAAAAATTGGTACGCCCATAATGTTACAGCAGCTGCTGCTGATAATACAAGAGGAATCAAAACTATTTACCTTATACACAAATGGACCGTCTATTTACATGAAACGCTGCTTCCATGCATCAATATTCAAATATTATGCGTGTTACCTAAAATTACATTAACTCTTACAATAAGATTTAAGGAAAAAAAATCCCTAATAAGGGTTGTAAACTGATATGATTAGGTTAGCATGGATTATTTGTTTACATTGAAATTTTATAATGACATGAAACAGATAAGGCAAGCCATCGTTTTCTCCTTGAATTGAAAGTGACTCACAACCCCTCAAATCTCGATGGAGACTTTGCAAACCTTTGTCTTCACAAAAAAACCAAGATATAATAATAATAACGTGGAGGAGTAGTTTTTATTATCCAATTGTCTTTTTATTGAGTTGAGGCTCATGGGCGTCGAGATTGGAAAATCGGAACACCAAGTCACATCGGATGGAAAAAACCCAAAAAAAATCGTGTTGACCAAAAATTCAATAAACCGGCATCGAACCGAATTATCAATTCAAATCAGTTTCAGTGCCGTTTCACACTTTACAAAACTGTACTACACCGGACTGGACTGACTATTTATTTATTTTTTAATTTAAAAATTATTTAAGTCAAATGCTAAATTTCTAATATCATAACTATTATTTCCCCAACCCCAACTTTAAAGCAAAAAAGATAACTGAGAATTATTAGGACGTAACTTCTATGATAGACTTAAGCAATAATATGTGTAGCGGAGAGAGTAACCCATTGCATTGGCAAATAGTTGACAGAGTTGTTTACATAGCTAAAATCATATAGAAATCATTTAAAAAGAAAGGCAATTAGAGTAAAGCATATTGACCAGCCAAGTTATACTTGCACTAGGCATCATGTAAAAATTGTTTTTTTTTCCTTACTGTAGCAATATTTCAAAATTGTTAAACTGCAGTTGACATAGGCATCTAATTGATATGCACATAATTAAGTAAATTAATATGACATGGCTGATAATGACCATTAGAAATATGTAAAATTGTTCGTAATTTAGTATTAGGGCTAATTATTGATTTGCCCCTTGAAAATTAAGGACATCAATTATTTGTTTTAGTCAGTTTCCTCTCTATCATTAGATTCACTCACATTTCATCCAATTATTGTTAAGAATGGCATGTGACACTTAAATAATTATAAAATAATGTTATAAAACAATAAAGAGAAAGAAAACAAAACAAAAACATTTCCCAGCCCCATCTTGCTCCCACCATCATCCCCTAGCCACGCCACCATAGTCTCCCAACTCCAGCACCCCTCTTCGTCCAAAAAACCACCTTAACCCTTTGAATTCCTTAGTCCACCGAACACCCAAGCCGTGTAATATGTGCGTCATGCTGCTCAACTAGCAACCCCCACCCGATATGCCCATGAGAGAGAGAGAGAGAGAGAGAGAGAGAGAGAGAGAGAGAGAGAGAGAGAGAGAGAGAAATAGAGATGTTGTGCTTGTGGGTTATGGAATGCTTGTATTTTTCTGAATCTTTGTTGTGATTTATGGTTGGGTATGTTTTGTATTGAGTTTAATTACAAGTTGGGGGTTTGATTTTGGTGGTGGGGGTAACAATGAGGAAGAGCTGGCTGGGAGGGTGGTCTCAGTTTAGGGTGTTGAGAAGTTCAGGTGGCTGGGTGGGTGGTCTCAGGTGTTGAGAAGTTCTGGGAAGGAGGGAGCAACGGGGGTGGTGGGTGCAGGAGAAGGGAGGTAAGGGCAAGGGCAAGGGCAAAGGGATGGAGATGGCTGAGGGATGGGGGTAACAGTAGTAGGGAAAGTGAAAAGAGGTGGTTGAATGGTTTTTAATTATTATAATTTTGTGTTTTTGGCTTTAATTTATTTCTCAAAATTTTAATTATTGTTAAGGTACAAAAATGACCAAATTGCCCTTAAATAGCCTCACATGCTTGGCACATGATTTTTTTAACGGTAAATTGGATGGAACGCGAGGCAAACTAACATCATGGGGAAATTGGCTAAAACTAATAATTGAGTTCCTTAAGTTTCTATAAAATAAAAAGGATATGGGATAAATCGAAAGTTAAATACAAATTTAGGGGGTAAATCAACAGTTGACCCTTTAGTATTATGTGAAAGTCAAAGTGGATGGGTTTTGATGATTTCTTATCTTACTTTGAGAGAAGTTGAGAGAGTGGCTAGTGTCGGTTATAGGGGTGGCTGCTTCGTTCAATAATTCAGGGTTGAAATGATTTTCCTTCCTTTCTAGCCTTTGCATCTATAGGAACCTGTTTTCTTATGCCTTTTCTGCTTATTGTATCTATTAGAAACTAATTCAACCAAAATTCCAGGGACGCACACAATATTTACAGCCAGCACCCTCAGAAACTTGCAGCCTTAACAATAAGAGAGAATTAAAGAAAGTTAAATCTTTGATTTAAAATCTAAGGCAAATCAGTATGTGTTCCATATTCTACTAGAAGTCTTAGAATCATTAACATCTATGTAGTCAAACAAGATTGACAGTAAAAGAGAATTAGAAAGCTGAAAGACAAGAAATAGATTACAAGCCAATTAGAAAAGCAAGACTAGGGTTCAAATCCTTTTTTATGCGGGACTTAGCCAGTGCCCCCATTCAATTGGTTGTTAGCCAAAAAAAAAAAAGATTACTCAATGTTAAGTTTCTCTAGCACCAAATGATTGCATGTCTACCAATAAATCAATAAAATAAATAAATTGAAATTGATACCAATCTTTGGGAAACTTGATTATAGGGAAGAAGTTTTAGAAGAAATTGTCTTGTAAAATTCTAGAGCCGTGAGGAATTATACATTCCCTTTGGTACTTTTTCCTTTTGTTCTTTATTAGAAACCTAAAAATACGGACACCATTTCGATTACAACAAGTGAGAGAGGAGGGGGTACTTGCAAGAAAACACTCCGGATGCTCAAGTAAGTAAGAGTATAATCGTATTAGAGTTTAGAATAGTGTCGTACATGATTTTCTATTTTTTTTTCATTTCTAGTACTGTTGGGTTAATTAGCCTTTTATAGACACTCGAGTCTTGGGCTCCAAATCCAACATTCTTCATTATTTTCCATTATTCAGAATAATGAATGTCATATTACTTGATTTTCTCTCATTTCTAAGTTTAAGATGCATGATAGTAGGGATCATCATTTGGCCCGCGGGCTCGGGTGCCCATGGGCCCCGCCCGGCCCATCGAGAAAAAGCCCAGCCCGGCCCGTTATGGGCCATGGGCCAACCCGGCCCATCAAAGTGTGGGCTAGGCTTGGGCTAAGGGGTCTAAAGCCTAGCCCGGCCCATAGGCCCGGCCCAGAGAAGCCCATAAAAACCCGGCCCGTTTGGCCCATCAAAGCCCAGCCCGCTTGGCCCATGATTATAATGTATAATTATAATTATAATTTATTATAGTGGACTATGGGTGTACTAATTTCTAAAAAAAAATACTTCTTGATTTTGTTTTTTTCCTTTTGGTAGGAACTTAAACTCTCTCTAGACGTGGTTTTTATTTATGGAATTTACTCACAAAACCAACATGAGTATTGAACAAATAAATACCATATTCGTAAATTGTTTTATAAAAGTCACAACACAACACTAGCCCATTTTTTAACCACTGACCGACACCTTTAATCAAAGAGAACCATGAAAGGAAAAAATAAAAGAAAAACACCCAAGATTTGTTTAATTTTATTTCTCTTTTCGGGAATGAGAAAATTCTCTAGAATTAAGAGGGAACGGGTAAAAACATAAAACACCAGAAGTTAGTATCCCCAGACTCCTCCACCACGACTCTCTCTGCCTCCTCAGGTATAAAGGAAATGACTTTCTCTTTCCAATGGTTTTTTTTAAGTCTTTTGCTTGATGGATGGGGACCATTCTTAGCTTGTTGTTTATGAGATCCAAAGCACAAAAGTGCTCTTCATGATGTTTATTTATAAAGGAAATAATTAGATTCTTTTAATTTTTAATTTTTATTTATTTTATAAAAAAACTGTTTATTTATTTATATTGTTAGCCCATTTGGCCCGGCCCATTTTGGCCCATTTGGCCTAGCCCGATGAGGCCCGTAAAAGCCTAGCCCATGGGGCGGGCTCGGGCTTTGATTTTGTAGAAAAAGCCTAGCCCGGCCCAGCCCGTATATTTTAATTAATCTAATAAACCCGGCCCGGCCTAGCCCAAACCCATTAGGCTTGGGCCGGGCTAGCCCAGCCCGGCCCATTGCCGAACCCTAATTCCTATGTCCAATTTTACTCAAATCTGCAAGGGTAAACCTAAGTTCGTCGACTACAAGGCCCGAAGTGTTATCTATCCAATCACACCTCAAGACTGGGATTCTAAACTTTTGGTAGTCAAGGTCCCAAATTTCTTGAATAACCCCATAAAAACCCATATTGGAGACAATAGGGTTTTTATCCTTGGCACTAGCAACTTACATAGTATGTGCAAGTAAATAAACTCCACTATTTTGGACAATTTGCACATCATCTTGTGCCTTGGTGTTAAATTTAACACCATTAATAAGATAGCTCCTATATGATGGCACTGCCATGCTTGGACCAGCTGCTAGCCACCTTAAATTTTCTAATACGCCATTATTGTCTTCCCCATTAAGTTCATTTTGAACCTGCAAATTAAACATATATCTTAATTCAATCTAACATATAGAAAGAAAGAAAATTAAAAGTTCAATATGTCATTCAATAACATATTAATCTAATAAACCCGGCCCGGCCTAGCCCAAACCCATTAGGCTTGGGCCGGGCTAGCCCAGCCCGGCCCATTGCCGATCCCTACATGATAGTGGGTTATTGCTTATACAGTAAATTTTGCTCCAACATATCCCACTGCCATGCCGCCATGTGTTTAATAAATGCTATGCTGCTAAAAGTTATGTGTAGGTTAAACGATAATATAGGTGGTCTGGTCATGTCAAATTCATTATTATATTAATGCATTGTTAATATACGTGGTCTGGTCTCTGTCAAATTCATTATTATATTAATGCATTATGTATGGGTCTGAATTTGATGTAGGCAGAGACATATGTGAATGTGATGTAATTAACTAAGGAAAATGCTAGGGAGATCAACTTGGGATACCAACTCTCTAATAGAGCGTGGGACCCATTGCATTGGTGGGCTCCACCTCTATTAGAGAGTTGGTATCCCAAATTGGTCTCCCTAGCATGACCCAATTAACTAATTATAATGAAGAAGAATTGATGACTGCTTGCCTGCAAATTTCTAATATTAATGTTGGTTTTATCTTATGGACCTCTCTTCAGGTCACAAGACAAAAAAGCAAAAGGTGGAAGTCGTTCAGAGGGGCATTCCGAGAATCGAACTCGGGACCTCTCGCACCCAAAGCGAGAATCATACCACTAGACCAAATGCCCTCTGTGGCATACGCCAGTGAATAAAACTTATTTACCGTCGTGACATTGTCAATTCTGCTTAACATGATTAAACCGAATTACAAAGAAAAACGAGTCCTAAACAGGCTGCTGGTGGTGGCCCATAATAGAAAATTTAATTCCGTTACAACTTACAAGCCACAAACACAACGAGTGTTTTTTTTTCTTTTTTCTTTCTGGGCCTTGGAACCCAACAAGAAGTTATTTAATATACAAAGCAAAGTTTGCTGATAAAATACTGGAGAGATAAGAAACTCAAAATAAAAGACAAAATAGATTTTCCTAGTCAGCAATCTTAAGCCACTCTCGCTCTCTCTGTTGAAAAACACTCGTGTGATAGCAAAACAATACTATCCCCGTTTCATATAAGTTTTTCTGCTCCTGATCAGTCCTCCTCCTGCTGGTGGTGAAGGTGAAGGACCAAACCAAAGTCAAGTCACCAAATATACTAGTATTTATTTTCAATGGATAATAAACCTGGGGGCCCACAGAAGCCCAATGACCGGAGTCAAAGAAACAAATACAAGCCTTTTGTGTATATCAATCAACGGCTCAAATATTAGCGTGTCCTGGATTAGGTCGATGGGTTGAGTGCACTGGAAACAATCAGTCAGAGAAAGGGAGGTCAGATATCTAGCAGCAGATGTACCCCAAGATTTGTTTCAGAAGCAAGAAACCTTTCTTTTCAAGTGCATGTCAACCTCTTGGACTTTGCACAAGACAAGAGAGAGAAGTGCCTTTTCTCCTGTCTCAGCTCTCACCACTCCCTCCTCCCTCCTCCCTTCCTCAGACTCAGAGAGATTACACAGACAGACAGCAGACACAGCTAAAGCTACAGAAACAGCTGCATGCAGCAGAGATGTCAGACTTCGATCGACTAAATACAAGAGAGACACAGCTTCAATTCAATGGGAGGAGGGAAGGGAAGGGAAGGGAAGGGAAGTGTGTAGCTAATAGTTAATTGATTATGAATTTATGAATATATAAACTGTGTGCGAGCTCTGCTCTGAATGAAAAATAAATACTCATAAATTAATAAGCAAGCAAAGCACTATTTAATTAATATTTAATTTAGGAGACTAGGGTTTCAAAATGCACAGAAAAAGCCAATTTTGCACAACCGTTACATCCCACGCGTCCAAACTACACTGTTCTCTTCTTTATTAACAACTCAACTTTGGTCAGACTATTTACTGTAGCTTAATTGCAAACTTTTATCTCGGAAATCATAGCTTTCTTTACTTATCATCATTACTGTTATCTCTCACTCACTTACCCATCACACCCTTTGCCGTTCTTGGTTTTCCGGCGAGCCCTGTAAAGAATAAGTCGCCGCAGGGAAGAGATGTCGCCGGTGGCCGGTAACAGGGGCTCCAATGGGTTGCAGGGTAGGCATTATCCTACACCCCATGCTACCCATGAGGAAGTTGTCAAAGACCCTGTCGTTTTCTGGGACACTCTCAGGCGCTTCCACTTGAAGATGAATACCAAGTTTATGTAAGCCTGCCTTCTTCGTCTCCTTGCATTTTTTATGGGAACTTTTAAAGTTGAGCAATTTTTTGTTCCCCCCCTCCCCCTCTTTCTAATATATATTGTATTATTTCACCTCCTCCTTTATTTTGTTCCTCCTAAGGATCCCTGTGATTGGAGGAAAGGAGCTAGATTTGCACATATTATATGTAGAGGTAACACGGAGGGGTGGCTTTGAGAAGGTTCGGCTATCTATCCCCTCATTTCCAAAGTACAAGTATTTTTTCAGGTACATTTTATTGTACTATTTTACTTTTGCTTTAAAGGAAAAAGATGATGGTTTTTATGTAGGTTGTTGCAGAGAAGAAATGGAGGGAAGTGGGTGCCATTTTCATGTTCTCCCCAACAACAACAAGCGCTTCTTTTGTGTTGAGGAAACACTACTCAACTCTTCTCTACCATTATGAACAGGTTTACTTCTTTAAGACACAGGGTCCTTTATGTACCCCTACAGGTATTTCTATTTCTTGCCTCGCTTTCTTTTTTTTTTATTTTTATTTTATTTATAATCTTTCTCTTGTTGCTCTACCCGACTTTTATTTTTTAGATTTCTGGGGGTCTAACTTAATTCTCTCTCTCTCTCTCTCTCTCTCTCTCTCTCTCTGTGCAGCTACTGCATTTTCCATTAGTAACCGTTCTGAGTCTGCAGACAAACCTGAGCTTGCTCTGGTGGAATATTCCCCCAAACACATAAAAGATTGTCCGCATGTCATTGAAGGTAGGTTCATTTTTCTCGACCCTGCCTCTCCATCACTCTTGATTGATACACAAAAATCCTACTGGATAAGAATAGTTTCAATCACACAACCACAAATTTTTGATGTGCTTTCTCGGCCTCAAAATTTTATATTTATCAGCACGTCTGGCTTGCTTTTGATAAGGAATATTTCGTGACCTTTATCATTTCACTGAATTATGAATTACGAAAACTTTGCAATTTTCCCATCTAATTTTTTTTTTTGGTCAAGAAAGAACAAGAAAAACCAACGTGCATATGTGGAAAGTTGAGTGTATTTTCAGTTTCACCTTCTCAGGGCCCCACTCCCCTATCTTATGTTTACAAATATGCGGCTGCTAAGCTATCCATGTTCTAGGTTTGGGTTTTCTGGTATTTTTGTAACTGCATAGATAATTGTATCACAATACAATATCCATCGACGGGTCGAGGTCAGTGATGATCACCCCACATGTGACATACGGGACCAGACCAATATCAAGATTTCAACGAGTGATTCCAATACCTCGTATCATGAATGAGTCTTTTGTGTCATTTGCCAAAAAGCTCCTTCTTTTTGTTTCGGAGCATGTAGAGATGTTGATCATTGATCCATCAGCTTGAACTGAATTTGATATTTGTCATAAAAACGTGCACATTTTAGATTTGATTGGAGTGGCTTGCCTATCATAGCATTCATACCTAATGTAACTAGCTGCTTTGTATTATTATTCCAGGTACGGGAACCATTGATGGGAAATTTGACTGTGGCTATTTCGTAACTGTGAAATTGGGTTCGGAAGTTCTCAGCGGAGTACTCTACCATCCTAATCAGCAGCCTCTACCAGGTCCTTCTTCTAATCCAATTAGTCCAGCCCCCCAACTTGTTAATGCCATTGTACCATACACCAAAAGATCTCGTCGTCTTTTGGGTTCGAAGAGGAGGAGGAGAAGAAGGGGAGATCCCAACTATCCGAAACCCAACAGGAGTGGCTATAATTTCTATTTTGCTGAAAAGCATTACAAGCTCAAGTCCCTCTACCCAAACAGAGAAAGGGAGTTTACCAAGATGATAGGCGAGTCTTGGAGCAATCTCACTGCAGAAGAGAGGCTGGTAACTAAATTACCTTGTTTTATTAGATCTGCAACTTCTTTATCAATTCCTTTTTGGTTTTTGTTTTTGGGGCAGATTTGTCACATCCTTTGTCATCTTTGTTTATAGGTTTACCAGAATATTGGGTTGCAAGACAAAGAAAGATACAAGAAAGAGTTGAAAGAGTACAAGGAGAGTATGAAGCTCGGGAGTCAGGCAGACCATGGAAATGAACGAAAGTTGATCACTAGAGCTTAAGAAGAGAGTCGAGAGATTGAATGAGCTTTGGGGTGTGCGTGTATATGAGAGAGAAAGTAGTCTCTGGTTGTTAAAAAGAAAGTTTATGCAACCATTTTACGGTGCAAGATGATCAGATTCCTAAACTTTAGCTTTAATATGCGAGGGGCACTTAACAACAACTCCTTCCTGGTTGTTTCTATCGTTTCTGTGTAGAATGCGTCTGTTTCTCTGGTTTTAGTTAGCTTGTAATATATAATATGGTAATTCATTAGAAACAAGGGGAAAAAACAGTTTGTAGATCCGGCTCAGCTGCATGCAGCAAGGAAACATAATAAATTGAACGTGTGGTCGTGCAGTGCAGTGCAGGGCTGCAATCTTTTCTTTGCATAGTCTTCAAAACACATCATATGAATTCCATCCTTGACGATGATGATTGGACATCAAAGATTCATCAGCAGACATGTTCTAATGACAGCCTACTCTACTTCTACTGCCTATGAGCGAAGGAGAGAGAGAGAGAGAGAGAGAGAGAGAGAGAGAGATACCAAAACTATCCATTATGCATCAAGAAAGCTTGCTAAGGCCGTGAAAGAAGCGGTGTCTCCTCCTCTTTGAATGCCTATGAGAATCCTTGAGCGCAACATAAGGAACAAAATGCACCTGGACATGGACATATATATGATGAAATTACGGATGAACAACGCCCCAAGTAAGTAGTTGATATCAAATACTACCATGAGAGACATAAATTTCCTAGAGCTTGATTCAGTTACAATATATATAAAAAAAACACCTGAGAATTGTTGCGGATGCCAAAATCCTGAAGTGCAGCATTGTCATCAAGTAGCTTGTCATTATGGTATGAGAGGCAAAAATTCCCCCACACGTGCTTCCTGCAAAGACACAAAGTATAATTATTATTAAGTAGCAGCACAAGATCAAGTGTATCAAGCGTTTTGGAAAGTACTGAGATCAAACATACTAGTACCATGAAATGTGGCGGTGACCCATCTTGGATTGCTCCATGTCGTTGATTTTCTTTTTTATTGCAACTTTAAGGTCCTTGACCGTAGCAGAATTCATGAGCGCCACATCTTCAGTCAGCATATGAAATCAAACCAAAATCAGCTTCGAATTCTAGAATTTTATGATGAACAAATAAAAAGAAAACAAAAAATTGGAATTGAGAAATTGTTTGAAGAGTACCGAAAGCGGTGGCGTCGAGCTTGAGGACAGAGATGCGCATGGCGCTGCCCAATTCGAGGCAGATGAGGGTGTCGACATCGGATAAGGTTGGATTTTTGGGAACATCGGAAAGTATAGGATCATCCACAAGGGCAACCAGCGTCGACTGCAGCCTTGCTTTCTTTATCTTGTTTTCTCTATATCCTTCTTCCACGATAACCTCCCCCTTCCTATTCCTATTACCATCCTCCTCCGTCATCTCCATTCTCTGCATCTGTTTTTTTAGGTCTCTCGCGCTCTCGCTGCCAGACTGGATTTCCATTTTCTTGGACTTGGACTGCGAATGGATTTTAGGTTCCACTTCCATTCCAAGTAGTAGGCTTGTTATGGTTTCATTTGCCCAAAGATGCTATTGTTTTGATCCAATCAATTTCACGTGTCTTATTGGGCCCAATGTATTTGTTTCCAATTAATTATTTTATTTTTCTGCCTATTTGTATTTTTTTAATGAAGAAATAAGAACAATCACAAGCGGAAACCACGGGACACGCAAGCCCCAACAAATTAAAATGAAAAGGAAAAAAACAGTTCAGTGGCAGACCATGTTCCCCCACACGGGAAGTGGAAAGGCGCCTATTTGTGTTTGATTTGAGGAGGAATCAAAGATAATTCACACTGGCATTGCATCCCTTTTTCTTTTTCTTTGCGTGTGTAATTCTCTCACTAGTCAAAGAATCCAGTGAAAATGAAGGGGAATCTCATGGTACTACTTATTTAGATAAACCATTATTACATAACCAATCAAGAAATGCCAAACTACTCCGCTTTACATTATTTTATAAACCAGACAACAATAGTTAAAGACGGGGGAACAAAACACCAGAAAGAAACCAGACCAAAATAGTCTCCAAACATCACAAATAATTTATTCAAGCCTTGAATTAAGTTAAACCGATGCCATAGCAAAGGTGAAGCCGCAAGCAAGTGCAAGGCTGAAAATCTAATTTGCAGTAGGCTTCTGCATCTCCACCACCTTCTCCCACGAGTCTCGTGTCGAAATCTCAGTCCACCACCTCCCCACATTGTTTCTAGAAGTAAACAGCTCTCCCCTGTCTGTGGCATTCACCAAGTAGTGCCCGTTGGGCAAGTGGGACAGATCGGCCAGTGAGAATTCATCTCCGGCCAAGAACCGGCTCTCCCCGAGCCTATTTTCGTACACGTCAAGCACCTTCTTCAGTTTTTCTTCATTCTGCCTTATCACTCCCTGGTCTTGCTTCAGCTTCATTCTTGGTGCGAATGCGAGCTGAAACACCAGAGTTGAGCTTGGAGGGCTGAAGCTTTGTCCTTCTGCTTCCAGCCACTGATCTATGGAGGCTTTTGCCAATGGATTCGTTCCGTACAACCCCTTGTTTCCCTGATCCGCGTACTTGTTACATATGTACCGGCATATGGCTCTGGATTCTGAAAATTACACGAGTAATAATACAAATAAAATGCATACAACAATCCAATTACCCATAATTATTATTTGAACAATAAAAAGGAAATTGATTTGCCAAACTGTATAACTGTTAGGTGAATCATACCAAAGAGGGAGATGTCCTCGTCTTGAAAAGCCGGCACTTGTCCAAACGGCTGTTACAACCATGTCACGAAAATGAAAATGAAAATGAGATATTAAGTGAGAATGAATACAATGATATGCGGGAAATGATAGCTACCTGGATCTTGAGATAGTCAGGCTTCTTGTGCTCGCCTTTGGACATGTTGACAGAAATGAGCTGATAATCAACGCCTTTCTCCAGGAGACAGGCCAACACTCTTGACACGGCTGTTGATATGGGTGGTCCGTACACCTTCACTGGAGTAGTCGCCATTACACTTTCTATGGATTGGATTGAATTTGATTCTTTCTTTCTATAGAGTAGAACTATTCTGGAGTTTCTAATTAGTGCCTTCCTGTATGGTTTTACACCATACAAAAGCACGACGAGCTGCCTTGCCACTTTATCCCTTACTTAAAGATAGTTGGTTTGATGGGCGCCCACCACCACCAACTACACGTGAATTAAAAAAAACATAATTTCATGGGGCCAACTTTGGTTTGGGCTTTAAAAAACATAATTTTGGGTTCCCTACATCTCCTGAGGTCCAAATAATGTAAAGACTAAAGGAACAAGACACACGAGCCATGCCAGGCCTGTCACATTTACTTTTATTTCCGAGGAAGAGAATGAGATGAATTGGGTTGATGTACCCAGTAACAGGCTTCCACAACAATACACGCAGCATGACAATGGAAGTTTTAATACATAATTGAAATAAAACTTTTAATACATGCATGACAATGGAAGAAGAATTCAAGGAAGGCACTAATCATATCGGAAATTTGATTCGACAACTTGATCTTTAACTTCAGATGTCTCAAGATTTACAAACTTTCGCTACTGTATCTCTCATCTAATATTCTCCTCGTGAAATTTTCCCCTGTGAAATCATAACCAAACCCTCGCCAAACTGATTGGAAGAGATAAACAATTGTAAATATCACAGATTGTGCAAACTTAATACTAAAGCAAAATCACCTTCAGAGTTCTTCAGTGCGCAAGGACACTATATTTTTTAGATCCATTTCGAAATCAGATGGAACAAGGACTTTGCCATGTTGATATGTCAGTAATAAGATCTCGTAGTTGATCTATAAGAAACTTGATATACACATTCTTGTTTGCAAGCTCCTACAAATAAAAACACAGTTAGTAGAATATTTCTTAAAATATTCTAACAACACAAATAGAGATCTTCAAAGATTAAGGTCTCAGATTTAACTTCAGTATCATTAAAGACATGAGCTCTAGGAAGGCTAATAATTTCAGCAAAAGCTGTCACGAAGATTGTTTAACTTGTTCTTTTTGGTGATCCATCTGGTAGTACCATCATTGTGTTTCAATTTACATGCACCCTCCAAATAAAATTCAACCCCTTTAGAAGCAAATTCACACGCACACTCCAAATAAATCCAACTCCTTTACATATGTAACATTACCTTTCTCAAATTGGAGGCTCGCTCATCTAACTTCTCAATTTCAGCTTCATCTGCTGGTGATTCTGAACTGACTGCAGTTGAACTAGTTTCAGATGGTGCCTGTTAAAAAGAAAACAACTGCATATTAGCTAATAAGATTCACAAACATGTTGATCTGAGATAAGGTCCAGAAATACAATCGCTGCAAATAGATGTTCACATATACACCACATAATTCTAAATTTTGTAATGAAGCATTTGCTGCATTGCACCGAACTTGAGATTCCTAGCAAATGGAGCAAACATTTCATTCAAGTCAGTGGGTTAAAAAGTCTCCCCCTTACTCTATTTCAATCAGTTTCATACACAAAGTTAATACAAATCCTTACTCTTTCAGTTCAACAGTGCGTGTAAATCAATCAAGGGTTTTGTTTATTTATTTATTTTATAAAACAAACATCGTACTGAACCCTCCATCACATAAATAAGAACTTGAAGTTGAAGAAATCACGCTGTACTGGATCATTGGCATTGGTTAAATAAAAATACATAAAAAAAAAAGTTTTGGAAAGTCAATTTGCACTGCTATGTAATCTTCTCGCGATATATGTCATTGATTGGGTGACCAAGAAACAAAACTAGAGCAGGAATGACAATTTGTACCTCAAATTGCAAACTCTGTGCATTGTGTATATCATGGTAGTGTCTAATTTGACTATTTAATAGACAAGAATTATGATAAATTCACCAAATTAAAGGAAAGGGTTTCTGAATTAACCTTCTGAGAGTTGGGAATCGCAGTGAGAACAGCACGGAGTAAGCGCACAGAGTTCGTATACCGATGCCGAGCCTCTTCAAGAGCTCCTCCGGTGCCAGAACCACCAGCACCAATTAAGTCTCCGTGATGGGTAGAAGTGTTTTCAGAAGAAGATGAATCGCCATTATTGACACCATTTGCGTGGGGAGCAGGACCATTTGCTATGTTTGTAGCAGCTGAAAAAGAGGAAGTGGTGGACCACAATGTGGGGTTGCAGAGCTCGTCATTCATGGAGGAGAGGATCTGGAAAGCTGCCTCTATGGTTTCTTCTAGATGCTTCTGGCCTTCCATTGCTAGCTCTTGCGTTGTCTTAGGGCTTGTTGTATCCTTCTCTTCCATTCTTTTGGACTCTTGACGTTGGAGAGTAAGGTTTTTAGAGGAGTTTTGTTTATTGTAAAGGAAAAAGAGGGTCAAAATTTTCAAACAATCGACAACTTTGAATCAGTGAAAATCAGAACACAAGCAGGGTCCCATTAGATAAACTTCCAAACCCTAACAAGCAATAACTAACAGCCAGATGAAAGAGAAGGAGAGAGTATTCTAATCGCCTAACTGATGACCAACAGAGAGTAGAAATTGTGAGATTTGAAGCGGCGGTGGCAAGTTGCATCTGTTCTGTGAGACGAGAGAGGGGGCGGCTGGGAGAGAGAGACAGAGAGTCGCGGCGGAGAATATGTTTTGGCAGCATCGGCTAAAGAGCCCAATATAGAGTTCAACCCAAAAAGAAAAGAGGAGGCTTTTTCTTGTGCTGATTTTGCTGACTGTTGGCCCAGTAAGTGTGGTTTCTGGATTTTGGGTTTTGTTCTTTGTATTGGGCCTTTGAGCTGTTTCTTACGTTCTTCAATCTAGTATGAATTTTCCCTCCTGTTTCTTGGCCAACTGTTTGTTTGCATAAATTATATGACATCCATCCATGTGCTTTGTCAACAAGATTCAACAGTACATTTGTGCGTTTAAGCTAAGCTTGTCTCTCTCAATATTATATGCTCAATACTGTCGCTGATGGATTTGTAGTTTGGTGCATACATACATACATAATGGAACTATATCGATAATCTAGATGTTAGGCTGAAACTACAAGCTTTCCAGTGCTTGAAGACTTTTAATTAATTTGCTGGTAGCACGGGCGGGACACAAGTTGTCCAATTTGAAGGAAGCTTGTTGGAGGTTAAACTCGGCATGTTTCGGACATTGACATCGAGAGGCAGTAAGCGATACTCAATATCGAGCTCTCTGAACACTTGGATCATCGCCTCAATCAGAAGACCTCTCCTAGTCCATCTCCCCAGCATGTCCTGATGGTTCATCTTGTGTGTAGGCCATACTGATATCTTCAGTTTGTTCAAATCCTCCACATCCCTCGTGATCAACATGGGAGCCGGGTACCAGTGGTCGCTCCTGCTTTCAATATACCTGCATAGCATTTTAAGCAGCCACAGCCCAAATTAAGACAGTGAAGATATCATTTCAAAACATAACCCGACAGCAAATCACATGCCTTTCTCTAAATGGAAAATAATTTATGCACCAAATGTTTTCTAATTGGATGTGTTGTTTCCAAACGTAAAACTATCATTAGAAGGAATTGTAAATTAAAAAAAAGGGAGAAATAAAAAAATGATGGGTCCATTCCAATTCATACCCCTGTATTCTTTCTTTCATTATGGCCAGCTTCTCCAAAGGAGTTGAGATATGAACGCAGAAATCAACAGCATCTCCCATGTCAGGACTACGATGATAATTAGCAATTGGCTTGGTAGCAAGAATACTGTTGGGGTATATGATCTTCTGGTGATCAAACTTCAGAAAGACTGTAGTTAATATATTCATCTCTTCAACTACCATCTGAGAACGTAAAGAACATCAAGTAATTATAAACAATAAGATAATACGCATTAAACATAACTTCAGATTCAAATTTTCACCTGGACCCCTTCCACTTCACAACGATCACCCACATCAAATGGGTGCATTACAAATAGAAATATGATTGCTTCGAATACTGTCTTGCACGTGTTCCCAAAGATAAATACAACCAGAAGAAGCTGGGAGCTTATGAGGAGAAGGAAGTGGGAGACTGGAATCCCAAGTATAATAAGCCAGATTATCACAATGATGACAGCTACAATGATGTTTAAAATGTTGTGGAGTTCATCCACAGCTGTTTTTGTATCGTTCAGAGACAATGCTAGTGCTCTTCTTTCTCTAAATGCACTGACCTAAACGAAAAGAGAAAAACACATCCTTTGTTCAATTTATGGTTCATCAATGACAGAAAGCACAGATTACCTCTTTTGCTTCTCCAAGATTTGGACAGGCATAGATTTTAATTGCTGATTAATAGCAAGAACAAAGGTAAAAGTGTTGAAATGCATTATTACCACCCAATCTCTAAGAGCGGACTTGCTGATTCTATCACTTTCATTTGCTGCACCAAAGAGATGAATTGTCTTCAAAGCTTCATCCTTATGCATAAAGGGCATCAAATCCTCAAGGCAAATGTATCTGTCACAAAAAAATGCATTATCACAACATGTTGACTGTAAGTCTCATAGACTACTTCCCTATATGCCTCTGTTGTTTATAAAGAAGGCATTGAGTTTTCAATCTGAGCAGGTAATCAAATTGCTGCACAGAAATAACACTAAAATACAGAATAAAGTACTGTATAATCAAACCATTAAGTGTGTAATTAAACATAGCTTACATACAGCTGAGGATCAAATCAAATCAATCTCAAATGGCAAAAGAAATCATGCAAACTTACGAGGACCCTGGCTTGGCTACTTTGAGGAATATCTTCTTGGCTGCCTCTTTTGCTTGGCATTCAGTTTCAATCTTCAAAGAAGAGTCGTCCTCAATATCAGAGTTCAGTATCTGTTCATCTAGAGTGGTTAAGGACCCGTGCCGGATGATATTCACCATTCTCCTCATATTCCAAGCTGATACATTCTTCTGATTTAGCTTATGCAAGTGGTCAACTGGGATTTCCTCATCTTGGCTCCCAGACATTGGCCTAGAAACCCTAGGACTCTTCCCTACTCTGGGGCTATTTTGTTGTCCACTCCCTATAACTCTCCCACTCCTTGCCCTTTGAAGAAGACTTGCCCTGAGCTCACGAGGCATAGTAGCCCCAGCATTCTGAAATTCCCGAATCTCAGCGGCGACCTTTTCCTCTTCTTCTGTATGTTGCCTTTCAAACAGAGGGGGACCAGAAAGCGTCTCAAAGACATACTGATTGAATAAGGCCTCCTGAATTCGTTCGAAAAAGGCATTGACATGGAAAGACAAGGCAAGGACCTTAACAAGTATTGTTTTCAGAAGCCATATCAAGGTACCAACCAGAAAACAAATCAAAACCTTGGTTACATAAGGTAAGATCCTACTCTGGGTCTTCTCCTCAACCTTCTTATCAAAAATGAAGTGCCACACAACCAAAACCAAACCCAACCAGAGACAATTCTGGACAGACTTTCTTAAGCCATAAACAAAATACAGAACCCGTTTTCGCAAGAGAAAATTTCGCTCTACAAAGAACACAACCACCCGAATTCCCCAACCCGAAACCAAACGTCCACAAATTAAGGCCAAAACCAATAATTCCCATTTCCACAGTGGAAGATCCCACAGTGTTTGTCTCTTTATAATTGGAATCCAAAGGTTACAAACTAAGGCTGCTATAACAAAAACAAGACTCACCCACTGAAGCAATGTGAGTGCGCTGAACTTGATCCTCTTATACTCTTCTGGAATGTCTTCAATGTCGGCGTCATCCAAAGCATCATCGTCATCTTTTCCAAGCGCTCGTCCAGAACCCGCCACTCTATCTGATTTTAGGCAGGATTCCTCAGGTGGGTCAAGAAGCCTGGACTTGGTCTTGCTCATTGGTGGCTTCCACGAGTTCCGAGAAAAGGAAGCGTTGGAACTGCATCTCAGAACCTCAGCTCCACCCGAGTTGGAGGGAGCGTCTGGCAGTGACAACTCTTTGCTTCTTCGTCGAAAAGATTCAGTGGGTTTTTCTGGTGAGCCACCAACTGTTGTCGTTGGAATTGCTTCTCCGTTCATCTTTGTTGTTTCTTTGCTACAAGAAGCACCGCAACTGTCGATCTTCACTACTACTTGTCCTTCCCTCTGGGCCATTTGACAGTCCTCTTCTTCTTTCTTGTTGATGCTTGAGGTTCCGCCAGCAACTTATAGTGTATTTGAAAACAGAAGACCTTCTCAAAAATTCCAACTAAGGAACTGCAGTGCAAGAGCAAGTGCGGAATACTTGCCTCATAAAAAGAAAAAAAGGAAAAAAGCACTGAAACTACAGTGTTATCACCACCATTCGCGAATGCGCAGTGTTTTTCAGGAATGTTAATTATGCCCAAAGCAAAAAGGGTGGGTGCACTAAGGAGACCAACTTTAGATACCAATTTGTGTACCATCTCTCTAATAGAGGTGGAGTCTACCAATATAATGGATCCTACGCTCTATTAGAAAGATGGTACACAAGTTGGTATTCAAAGTTGGTCTCCCTATCATTTTCCTTTTCTTTTTGTGGATGAAAAGTCCTCGTCTGGTTTACATCTCTGTAATCACTTACTAAAACATTCCCAAGTTTTCGTCCCAAAAAAAAAAAACATTCCCAAGTTATTCCAACCAAAACAAAAAAAACAAAAAAACATTCCCAAGTTCAAGATCATTTATAATCGGCCAAAGAAGAAATAAAATTGTGAAATATTTTTGCCTGTCCATATCTTAGTTTTTTTTCAAAGATTATTTTATACAAACAAAAAAAATAAAATAAAGACACGAGATGAAAAGGAGGAGCAATGCATCAGATTCCCAGCACCCGGTTTTGGCGCAAAAATTATTTGGGAATAATATATTTTTGCGTGCTATCATCTATGACGGGGAAGAATCTTTGTCCATCGGTTGAGGTTGAATTGTTTTTTTCTATGAGGAAGGACTAAAAGAAGAAAACATCTCTAAACCCCACCGTCACTAGAATCCATTTTTGCTCAATTTTCATTATTGTTAATCTATAACATAACAGTAACACGCCATCCCCTTTATAAGTATAGGCGTATGGTATGGGTTGAAGTTAAATGAATATTTAATGTGTGATGATGATAAACAAAATGCAATGAATCAGCACAAGAGTCTCTAGTCATTACTTAGATTAACCCAACGGAGCATATAAAGTTGAGGGAGGGAAAGAAAGGAGTTGTGAAGAGTTTGATTGATCAATGATCATTAGACACTGTATTACACACGTATTAATTTATAAACAAAAACCTCATTCACTGTCTTGCTTGAACGTGGGAACTACTTTGGCTGATTTTCCCTTTCGTCTATCCTCGCTTCCATTTGCAACCTGTACCAAAACTTTGGTTATAACTTTTCAAAATTGCATACCGGAACCAAGCAATAAATAAAGACTAGCTAGTGTTAGTGTTGGATCTTTTCTCGTACCCTCCTGGCTATGTGCTGCAACATCTTTACAATTTCTGAGAATTCAGGTCTCAATGATGGGTCCTGCTGCCAGCATCTCTCCATCAATTCCACCAACATTGGATTAGTGTGCCTTGGAATTGTAGGCCTCAGACCCTGAAATTCATGCCCCAACAGCACTCAATTAATAGACTTCACTTCTAGTTTTGAGACCTTATTCATTAAAAATTATAAAGGCATGTATGCCCAGCTCGCTCGCATGGTTGGGCATTAATAAGTCATTCAGATCTTCAGATAATACCCCTATTTTACACATAGCTAGCTTATCTTTCATGGCAAACAACTTTTACCAGGCTACCAGGTACTTAAAAGGTAGGACAACTTCTCATCAGGAAAAGGAAAGTCAACTCCACTAATTGGGATCACCTACCTGAGAACAACTCGGGGATCCTGGATATGAACTCCCATCAGGAATAAATAAGATAGAAAAATATTAAGGCAGGCTTATATTGCTGGGAAAGTAAAAGAAATACCTTCTGGACTACGCCAACTGCTGCTTGTAACGGAGTTAAGTTCTCGTAGGGAAGCTGACATTTCAGTCACAAAACATAGACAGATGATGGTGTGAAGTCTGTGCAACCATGAACTAGTTTTAAAGATAAACAAAAGCATTGATTTGAACGTACCATTTTTCTTCAGGGGAAGAAAAATCCACCCATCTATTTTCTAGTATAAAAGAGATTACCTTTCCTGTAAGCAGCTCCCAGAGAACAACCCCAAAGCTAAACACATCAGCTTTGTGATCATATGGTTTATGCTCTATAACCTTCATCAACACCAAGCAATCATGTGTTAGACACTAGACAGGAATAAGCATAGACATAATAACCATCATCAAAAGCCAAGAAATTCATCAAGCTACTAGTGTGATCAATAAAATCTTCCATAACCATAATAAACACACAATATGATAATTTGTTGTAGTTCCTTCCTTGTAAAACATCTTCATGGTAATATTCAGGTACAATAATTTCCTTAATGACTAACATGTGCAAGATTTAAAGAACTAAACGTTATCTGGCCAGGAATTTGTTGTCCATTTGCTTAATTCCAATAAGCAAATGAAATGGTTAATACTTAATACCCGTGAATAAATAACTACAGAACACAGACCTCTGGAGCCATCCAACGATAAGTGCCAGTTTCTGCAGTCATAACGCCAGATTGCGCCTGTACTCTAGCGACGCCAAAATCAGCAACTTTCACAACCTGTCAAACAAGAATTTTGAACCTTAAAAAGAAATGATGAAATTCAGATCGCCATGTTAAAACTATGTACAGCCTTGGAAGAACCTGATAACCTCCTATCAAGAAGAAGCAACATGAAACAAGAACAAGAATGCACACGACTGCCCATGCCTCCCTTTAATTTTGAGAAAAGTATAATAAATAAAAGTATATAAATTTAAAGGATAAATGCAAGCTATTCAAAAAGAAGGGACAACGAATACAAATGCAATAATAAAGCACCCCTTTGCTTATGCAAGGTTATGAAAGTTTAATGATGCAATGCCCTGACATAATGAGATTGCTTGCCTCATTCCAATCCAATTTGGTCAGAGGTGATTAGATTTGACCTTCTCTCCATTTTCTTTGGGGTGTAACAAGAAAACCTGATTACATTACATAATTAAGAGATACAAAGGATCTTACTCCATTTTCATCCATCAAAAGATTAGCAGCTTTCAAGTCCCTATGGATTATATTATTTTGGTGCAAGTAGTTCATTCCCCTGGAAACATCAATTGCAACTCTGAGCAAGGACTGAAGTGATAAAGCACCTGTTTGCTTATGCACAAAGTCGTACATACTTCCACCAGACAGAAACTCTGAGAAGGGAAAAGAAATATAAAAGAGCAGAACTTGGATTGAACCGAAAACCATGTGTTGGTAATAAACAAATACAAAGCATGGCACAGAATGTGCACAGAAGTCATTTGAAATTACCAGTAACGATGCAAAGCTTAGGAGGTTTAGTGCATGCTCCAATTAATTGAACAACATTTTTGTGCCGAACTTTTCTGCAAGGATGATATAAGTTTGAGAACTGCAAGATCAAATGCATGAAACAGGCTGCTGAGAGCAGCCTTTCGGCCATAAAGATCACAAAGGATTTATATTTGCCTCGTGTATAAAGAGTAACTGTATTACCGACCTCATGATATAGACTTCTTGAGTAAACTCCCTCATAGTTTCATTCAGGCGCTCAGTACTAAGAACTTTAATAGCCACAGCTTGACCACAGAAACTACCTTGAAACCTGGGTCAATCAACTTAGCTATTAACAAGCACTCATATACCAAGTAAACATGCCCTAAAATTGTGACAGGACTTACAGATCACCATACGATCCAGATGCAATTTTCTTTTCATATCTCAACAGGGTTGCATCAATTTCCCAAATATCTTGTTCCTCATTGAGTGAGCTTACATGACTATTAGTAAACATCATTCCAGTCTCTTGCTCTGGAACAGGGGAAATAACACTATAATCCAAGCAAGGATTCTTCTGCAACACAGACAAAATAATGAGAGACTGCAGATATTGTGCCTGTTTACAAGTATTAGCAACACTCATTTCATATACATTGGTACTTGGTATATAGAAAATAAAATTAATAAAAGAAAACATGCAATAACTACCTAGATCTTGGAAATACATATATCACCAGGGAAAATGCTGAACATGAAAACAAGAACCAGCCAAGATATAGACAGAAACATCAAAATATACTAAGCAAAACTGAAGGCATTAAACTTACTAGAATACATTTCTCACCTTGAGACAAAAACAAAAACAAGTCCATATAGACTGGTGAGTGCTACCATAGTAACATAAATGAGCATTTTCCACAGCTAAATCACAAATCTTAGGTAACTTTTCATATCACATGTGCCAAATTCTTGAAAGGCAAGATGGAAAGATAACTTTTTGCTTTTGCTTTTGCTTTTCTGGCCCCTTAAGATCGGGGTCACGAAACTTGTGTCCATAACCAAATGGTTAGCTAAAGCATAATGCTTAAACTTATCAGAACACAATAGTTTCATTAACCTTTCATGACAATATGGAAATAGTTACCGACGCTGCATTGGACTAGATGGCCAATCTATAAGGTACATAGTTTTAAATTAAACTACAATTAAGTTAATGGAAGTGAACATTCAATGCTGGAACCTCAGTTAAAAGCCAGAAAAGAAAACCCCAAAAACAAACAAATTTGTTTCTAGGTTTTATATGAACTTCCTGAAGGATGAGCACAACAAGAAGCCAATAAATAAAAATGAGGAAAGAAAAATTCTCTCCCTAGTAAAAGCAAACATATGTCTGAAAATTGTATCAGTGATAGAAATTTAAAAAATAATAATAATAAGTAAGCATTAAAAGGGACCTACCTCACTCCATGGTATTTCTTTGGCCAGTACATGTCTAAGCCGCTCAGTTTCCTGCAACATTGAAATAAAAATAACCCATCTCATGCTACAATTAGATATTTCCCCTTAAGCAAAGTGACCTGTTATGGTTTTGTAGCAGAATGCGAACAAGGCAAGACAATACCTCACATGCCCAACCATCAACAACAAAGACATCCAAAGAGTAGCCATCTGTTGTGGAAAAAGCATGTGCTTCTCGAATGTTCAGTCCAATATCAGATAATAAGGATGTCAACTGATGCAAAACATAAGATCGTAACAGTAATGAGAAACAATGATTAAACACACAAAATATCCTTGTTCTAAAAGAAATACCTATAATACTATTACAGATAACATCTCCAAAATTAAAACAATCTGCAGACAAATATCAAATTTATCTACTGCTGATTAAACTGATATGCTACATATGAAAGTCTGAGTCAAGTAGCGATACAAGAGACGACAATGTATGTATCTGAACTAGTAATTCTGCAACAACCAAGTCTTACAAAAAATATAAAGATGAGACCCCCTTGACGCTAATGTATGGTATGACACAAGATTTAGAAGAGGGCGGGGGAGGAGCGCCAAATAAAATAGGGAATAGATCGACCTCTAGTGATACAGCCAGTTCTTTTCTTTTCGTTTTTCTTTATCAAGTAGTGTTCGTCCACCATTCACTTTAATCTCAACAAATCACCCACCATAACTGACCAAACAGGTTTCCTCCCATTGATAGCCATTGTGGGTTTAATATGCAGGGTCAAAGCATTCAAGACAGTCACAAGCCTTCCAGACCCACTGAAAAGGTCAAGATTCAGGGTGAGAATCAGGGTGACCATACACTTTGAGGAAGTCTTTAAGCATAAAAATACTGGGTAGAGGGAGGGCGAACCAGGCCCCCTCAAATTTCCTGTATAGAATATATGGCCCCCCCTTGACTATTTTCCAGCTCCATACCATTATATCATAAGCATTGTAAAACATGTGCATTTCAACCTCACCATTTGTCGGAATTTCAAATATGAAGTTAGATGCCTTTCTTATGTCAGAACTGTAAGTGAATCGTGTAATATGCAAAACGTATCTTTTTTCTAAGAGAATACGCAATACACATCACATGCTATGCAAAAAATATATATATATAAATCCTTGAGATGAGCTTAAAATGTTAACAATAGTACATCATTAAGAGTTATCAAGAAAGATGATGCCAATTAAAAACCACATTATATTGATTGACATGGAAAAATAGCTATTTTAGACAACAGTTTTTTTTTAAAAGGAAAAAAGAATACCTCACTGAGGAGTTTGGGCTTGTCATTAGTTGAAATAGTAATTTCATGCATTGGCCTACAAATTTTGAAGTATATGCAAAGTTAATTAGATAAGAACAATGGAAAATTATAGAAAAGTTAATTAGATATGAATCCATGAAATCGAACCTACTAACATGAACAGTTGATTAAGCGGTAAAATGAAAATAAATACAGAACTAGAGAAAAAAGATCAAAATCATAAAAGATGTATTTCAAACCTACTTACCGTGTATAAAGTTGACTGGCGTTCACAGTGTTATTCCCATGGTGCACGTGTAACTGCTCGGCTTCAAGAGCAAGTTCAAGGTCTGGTGACAAACCAAAAGCTGGTGGCGGATGGCTGGATATATGAGAAATGCAAAGAGGGTAGCATATGAGAGATGTAAAAAGCAATTGTTTTCAATAAAGAAAACAAATCCAAATAGATATTCATTTAACCATGCCTCTGTTTGCTAGCATAAGCAGAACAATGAGCATCCGCTTTCCTGGGTAAGTTTGAACCAGAAGCAGAATGAACCTGCATAAGAGATAAATTGCACAGATGCATTAAGAAAGCAATAAGTGGACAGGACAGATGACCGAACAACAAATTAAGACGAATCAAACAACACAGAACAGAGTCGTATCGATACAAAAAGAGAAATCCCCAGACCATTGTAGGAAAATAACTGAATTTGAGTATAAAATAAAAAATAAAAAATTCAACTGTTTCCATACATTTGTATGTTTGTGTATAAATTACCTGCACAAGATGGACTTCAACTGCAGGTCTTGTGGCAGGGTCATGTGCCATAAGGAGTAACCTTTTATGCATGAGAACATCTTGTGCCCTCTCCACATTCACATCCAACGCATACCTTCAGTTCAAAGAGAAAATCAGGTCAACAAATGTAATTACGCAGTGCAAGCAACCGTTCAAATAGGAGCTTATAATACATATTAATGTAAATGTACTAGCACTCATCTCATCAAATCGGAGCCAACATTAAGTCATACAGAACCCAAAAAGGAAAAAAAGACAGAGAGTTTCAGTCCAAAAGAAGCCATTCTGTAATACTAGTCTGGTTTCGATCAAGACAAGAAAGATTGTCAAAAGGAAACAACTTCCCCATTTTGAGTCATGAGCAAAATATATACATATTATCGAATTATACCAAATTTGGACACCTATCCTATATAATGTATTTGAGTGGGTGGGTGGGTCATGGGTGGATAGGTGGGTCGGTGCAGTCCACGTACAGAGTAAAATAATAATAATAAACGTATCTTTCACTGCCCTTTAACCTTTGGCTTTCTCTTTCTCAGCAATCAATCTACGGCCAACTTAAATCCATCCATCCCCATGGAGCATCAAGAAGAACACATTCTCAGAAAAAGAGGACGAATTTATTTATAGGGAGTGTAATATAAATTCAAAGATTCCGGTTGCACAATTCAAAAGACTTTTAATTTTACTAAAGTCATGTGACGACGGTGACATATTTTATTTTATCTATCCATTTTTACAGACAGAATAAAAAAGAATCAAAGATTCTGATGAAGCAGAGTCAACAAGGAATATGCAACAAAAACAAACACGGGAATTAGAAAGGAGGCATGACCCGTTACCAAGAAACAAATTGAAAGTAAAAAATAAACAGGAGAGTAAGTAGGCGCTTGAAATTCCATCCAACGATTACATACATAGATAAATACACAGAGAGAGAGAGAGAGAGAGAGAAGGCTAGGGTTTGGAGGTATGTACCTAGTGGGGAGGCGATTAAAATGAGCCCAGAGTTCATCTTCGAAACCAGCAAGTTTGGCGTCTGCGACATCTGAGCTCATAAGTCGACGGAGAACTTCGTTGTAGATATTGACTTTGAGCTTCTGCTTTCGGGTGAGAGTGGGGGAGAAATCGACGGGCCTGCTACAGCAACTCTCGGTGTCTTCCATGATTCACCCACCATCAAGAGCTAGCAGCACGCACATAAAGAGTATGATCAAAGTCCAAACGGTGCGTTTCCGAATCCGATTAAGCAAGCTGTCCCCGGACCTGGTTAATACTTGTGCGTTTACGACAGTGGATTATTGAGTGTCCTTGCGTGTACAAAAAGAAAGAGAAATGGCTACCGATTTTGAGATTGAGCCCGTTGCTCTTCTCTTCACTTCACCGTCTGTCTGTCCGTCTATGTGATTCTCTTGTCTCCGTCTGTCTGTCCGTCTATGTGATTCTCTTGTCTCCGTCTGTCTGTCCGTCTATGTGATTCTCTTGTCTCCGTCTGTCTGTCCGTCTATGTGATTCTCTTGTCTTAATAGAGACTAAGAGAGAGAGAGAGAGAGGCGTACTGCGCACCCCCACAAGTTTGTGTTGATGTTGACGTGGATTCTTGCAAGTTAACAATGCTAGCTTTTCCCTGCTTTGCTTTGCTTATATCACCACTCACCGAATCACCGCCTGCTGATATTATCCTTATTGGATTCGTCCATTAAACAAATTTAACGATAATCCATTAACAACTAAATTATGTGTTGTATATAAATTAAATATTCATCCTTCAACTTATTAATTCGTTGATAGCATCACCACGGGGACCCGCATCTCCCCTCCAAGTCCAACCCAATCAGCTGTGTGCTGGATTATCTCATTTTCCACTCAACCTACGCTAAATCTGTTTTTCTATTGGTCTGTCAACTTCTTCTTCTTCTATTTCTTATTTTTCATTCGTTGAGAATGAGAAGCTTTATCTTATCATAGCATACTTTTTTCCCGGTGGGTAGACATTTCCCGGCTTAGATTTTAATCCATCACCTATTATATATAATATATATATACATGGATGGTGTTACGTATATAAATAGTTGATTACAAAAATGAACAGGGCAACTGCATTCAGTTCCAAGAAGATTCCAACCATGGACATTTTTGGTATATATATGTTTGTGGAATCTGACCCATTCGCCTATTTGGATACCAAAAATGTCCATGGTTGGAATCTTCTTGGAACTGAATGCAGTTGCCCTGTTCATTTTTGTAATCAACTATTTATATACGTAACACCATCCATGTATATATATATATATATATATATATGTATGTGTGTGATGCATTGTTGACTTGTGAATATTACTAGTTTGGGAGGAAAAACGAAAAAAAACATGTTTTCCCGATTAAAGGGATGTTGAATTGAATCCAAATAATAATAGTGGAAGACATCCATATACATGCAGCATGTTGTGTTGTCCCCCGCGTCGCGTGTATCTCTCATTGGCAAACATCATGGATCATGATTCATGTGTATGTATGATTTTATCCTATCCTGTTTGTTAATAACTATAAAATATATTATATATGCATAATACATGTGATGTGCTGTGCTGTGGTGATATATGATGACCACTCCCACTCCCACTCCCACTGAAACTGAGGAAACACCCACGCTTTTGTGCTTCAAATGTATACTATATGTCTCCGGACTCCACACAATTGCATATTGGATTGAATTTTGGATAACTAAGACCCATTCATTAATATTAATATTATAATCTAATTTTCTGTAATTTATCAAATGGCACATTTTATTATATATAAAGTGGACTAGTCTAGCATATATGCTGCACCCAATCTTTAAAACAAACAAAACAAAGAAAACATACATTGGATGGGCCTACCTTACCTTAAACAAAATGTTGGGCTAGGTTCTTCTTTCAAGTTGGGCCATACCGTTCATTAAAAATTAAAAAAAAAAAAACTTTGGGTGACTCAGTCGACGGTGATTCATCATCTCATCTATGTTGACCCAGTCAACTCAGCAGACCCTAACGACAAACCACATCCCCCACCCCACCCAGATTGTGTTACTGGGAAATGAATAAGATGTTCAAACTCAACTGAATTTCATCAACTAGTATAATAAAGAAACCAATTAACGTACAAAAATGGCATATATATCGTCGTCGTTGTCAATGTGTTGACAGATGAGATTCCTTCCACAAGTAGTAACTAAAATGCAGAGAGCAAGCGTTATATATTTACTACATGCATGGCTCTCCTTGTGAGTTGTGAACTTGTGACTTGTGAGGGGGAAGGCGTTATATTCATATTATAAATTTGATCCCCTTTTATTAATGCTTCCTCTGCAGACCCAGACTGTGCCTCTGCCTCTGCCTCTGCCTTTGCTTTGTTAATGAGAGGAATCATGCAGCCCAACGCGAGATTCCCTTATTAATGGTAGAGGGCCTGACTGTAGTTCTGCCGATAGATATTAGAGAGAGATAGCGGAGAATATTATGGGGTTGGGACGTTGGCTGGTATGTATTCAATGCTATGGTCCTTGGCCAAGGGTTTTGGTAGCTACGGGTTTTTAATGCACCACCAGCACCCTGCAATGCCCCTCTTTTTCTCACTCCTTCCTTAAATAATGATCCATGACATTCCCATTTTTTCTCACTGCTATAGCTTTCTTCCCCTCTTTTTCTCACTCTTTTTAATCATACTCTCCTCGTCTTTCTTTCTTGTTTAGCTAATTGCTAATTTGCTAGGCATATATATATTTATATATACAACGTAGGTACAAGAAATAAGCACACAGGCATATATCATATATGTAAGAATGTAATTTTGGCTACACTTGATTGAAATAGTTACTGCGATGTTGGCCCGGTTCACTCAGAGAAGATGAATTCCCTTCTGAATTTGATTGAGCCGTGCCAATATCTCAGTGCTCTTTCATTTCATTCTCTCACGCCTACGTCCGTCTTCCTCCACGCTTCTTACAACCAAGCTACCCTCTTCCCCCTTCCCTCAGCTGTGGTAAGTATTTCTTCTCATCATCTCCTATATATCTTTCTGTTTCTGTTTTTAATTTTTCCTTTTGCCTTTTTTTACAGATTTTTGTTTTAATATATTTCCTTTTCTAAACAATTAAAATGGGTTTTTTTTAACTTTTGAATAATCTCTCCAAAAAAAAACTTCAGAATATTGAAGTTTGGGCCATTATCCTTGTAACTGTACACAACTCAGAATATGCACAGTTCATTCATTTGATATTGATTCTACGACCGACCTACCACATTAATATTACTTCGCACAGAGCCGATCATATGTGTGTGACAGTACTTCACACTTGGGTGCGAAATTATTACTGTTGGCCTTTGCGAAATTATTAGTTGAGAAAGGATTTCTATGTACCTGTGTTGTCATCATCTGGAAGATGTGTCATCAATTCTTCCTGTGTTTTGCATGAAGATTCAGTGTGTTTGTTTTGTGGGTTTAACGAAAGTTTCATTCCGACCAAAAAAATGAAAAAGTCTGAGTTGTGTCCTTAATTGGAGTATTAACTACAATTGGATACTATCATCTTGGCAGAAGTGATTTATTAAATACGTTCACTGTATAACGTCCCACCCATTAACGTAAATAATGAGAGCATTTATTCTGCATAAACAATAGGGAAGGAATAGTGAACGGAATATGCTTTCCCGTGACCAGATCCAGAAGGTTGTATTTTGGATGGATAATAATAAGAGCATCCGCAATGGTTGTTTAATAGTTCAATAAATTGATCTTTTTTTGCATCTATATTGAATTGAACTGCAATTTTACTTGCAATTGTCAAATCAATAGTTATATCTACTTACACATTTTTTACATACTCAAATAAAATAAAAGGGATAAATATAATAAGACTATAAATTGTACTATTGCAATATTCTCAAAGAGATCTTTAAAAAGAGATCAATTTTGAATATATTTGAAGATAAATATATATTAATTGATGTATTTTTTCTATTACATTGAACTATTGAACAACCATTGCGTATGCTCTTAACAACATAATGCATTAATTGTTGTATTTGTTTCCATTTTTCATTGGCATGTGGGTCTTATGGTTTGCCTATTGCAATTCCAATAGAGGGTTCATCACATAGCACCCTCTATTACAATGAACTAAATCACACCATTGCAAATGATATTTTACTGTTTAATTCGACATGCAATAAAATTGCATTGATACTAACTGTCGTTGCAGATGCTCTAAGGAAAAAGAAAAATTAGTTAGAAGAGTAAATGTGGGAGGAGGGAGCGTTGGTCAATCTTTAATAAAAACAAGGGGGTCTCTTTCCTTCACCTTTCCTATAGCTACTTATTTATTGCTACATAATTCTGTCGGCTGCTTTTAATTTCTGTCTCGCAACCAATTCATCTCTGTACTCTAGCTATAATTTCAGCTTCCTTCACGCCATTCACCATTCACCATACATAAGTTATAATTTTGTAACTTGTTTCAACTTTGATTAAAGAAGTTTTAGGGATTCATTGGGAATGCACCTTGTAATTTTATTTTGTACATAATAAACAAAAATTGAGTATTGCTTAATGCGGAAATCAGAATAGTTTAGTATAATCAATTTAGTTTGTTTTTCAGTAATGTATATTATGTGACAATGAAAAAAGAATAATGCTAGAGAGACTACGTACATTATTATACCACTAGAAACAAGGAATATAATACAAGTAGGCAGGCCCGGCCCTTGGCCAGGGCAACCAGGGCCACAGCCCGGGGCCCACGATTGAGAAGGGCACAAAAAAAAATTATATTAGCTTATATATGTATATGATCAGACAAAAAAATTTATATGTATATGCAAAACAAAATTATAAGTGCTCATAAAAAAATAAAATAACTAAAAGTAATGGGTATGGCTAAATTATATTGCCCCTTTGCTCAACTGGTGTACAGATTACCTTATTTCCATTTTCAACATTTAAGTAAATGTCTCTGTCCTTTTACTTTCATTTATTTTTATATTACTCGATTTACTTAAGTTTACAATGTAAATAAGGAAGTACCCCCATTTGGATTCAAATAAAAATACTAGAAAATCAAATTCCCACCAAATAAAAATATGAAAAATCGGTTTTAGTGCAAAATACGATTTATGCTAAAAATGATGGCTCATTAAGTCAATATATACTTCATACTAAAATCCCATAAAATCAAGTTTTCTTATTTGATGTGTAAGGAATAAAAGCCGCCAAAAATTATCTTGAGAAAATGATTATTCCGAAAAACCATTTTTCATACTTAATCAATATTGCACCTCTGCTAAAAAAAATCTGGGTCCACCAATAGTGGTAGGCATAAGAATTCTCTCTCTCTCTCTCTCTCTCTCTCTCTCTCACCCAAAGCACGCATCTCCTCCCTGGGTTTCTCTAAACAATGATTTGCTTATTAGGCTTTTGGTTTTTGTCTCAAATGGTGAGGAAGGCTATTTCAATCGATTCTCATACTTGCAAATTGCAATACACTAGTTAATGAGTTTTGTCAAATTGGGTCGGTAATTATTTAGAATGGGTAATGGATAATTTGGTTTGATGGGGATTAGGTGTCTTGAGAGCTAGCTGGGTGGGTGGGTGTTGTTGGGCTTGTGGTAGATGGTGGTTGCTAGGTGGCTGGTGGTGTTTGGGTGGTGGCTTGTTTGGTGCGGCCTGGGAAGGAAGTGATGAAGTTTTTAATGTTTTTTTAATATTCTTAAATAATTTTTTAAAATTGTTAACATACACGCTGGATTTACACTTAAGATGAGTTACATAAGTCCTTATAAGTTATTTTACAAAAAAATAAACTTGTCTTTAAAATTTTAAAGATATAGTGGGTGGGAAAATATGACAAGATGATGGAAATAGCAGCACTCAATTAATTATTTGATTAAAAAAATAATAATTTATGAATAAAGGGCACACTCTTAGAGTTTTGCCATGGGCCTTCAATCACCCAGGGCCGGCCCTGCAAGTAGGTCTCAACTGCAGTTCAGAATTGTATATCACTTCTCTACAAGAATTCTATAGTGAGGGCTTATGTATACAATAATGTGATCGCATTTTCCATATTTAACAAATTCATCCAATTTTGTAACCTCAAGCCTTTACTGAGTTGAGTCCCTGAAGACCCGTCTGTGTGTCGAGTTTTATCGCAGGCTTTAAATTTGTTGTTTGTATTTCGCCCAGAGACTTATGTTCCGCATCCCAAAGCCCAAAGTCCAAGACCCATAAATAAATCAAACAAATTGACCCAAGTGCAAAATAGTCCACCCGTTCATAATCAGATCGAGTTATTCTATAAATGAGGTTCTAGATGAGGTTCTATCTCTTAATCGTTGAATTAGATTAACCAATTTAATTTAACAGTTAAGAAATAGAGCCTCGCCTAAATGCCATATATAAGCCCTTCTCACTGTAGAATTCTTGTGATCAGATGACAGTTTGTCCTCCTCCTCCTACTACTGCAAAATTTATCCTCTGTTTTTTATCCACTATTTTGACATGCTACGAAAGCTCTAGCTCTAGATCACACTCTCCACCTCACATCACTAAATCCAAAGCCACGTCAGAGGATAGCATCTCAGCCAGCCAATAAGACCCATCCTCACCAGCAGAAGAGATAACCCTTGTCTCTATCTCATCCCCACTGCCACTCATTCAGAGCTTATTATCCAATCACCTACACCGATTGTCCATCCACGAACGAACCAACACAAGCCACACATAAGATGAGCAAAGCAACCCAACCCTCGCACCCCCTCTATTAAAACACACCTTTCCTATCTTCTCTTTTTGATCATCCCCTTCAAGTTTCAACACTCAAGGCGACCTGCTTGCTAGAACACATTATTTCCATTTCAACTATCCCAATTACAATGGCCACTGTTACCCCCGCCGCCGTTGCAATCCCATCATTCACCGGCCTCAAGTCCGCCGGTGCATCCAAGGTGAGCAGAGCCGCCGTTAAGTTTGCAGCCTCCCCGAGGATGTGTGCCATCAAGTCCTCACTTAAGGATGTGGGCGTGGCCGTAGCAGCCACTGCAGCAAGTGCAATCTTGGCAAGCAATGCCTTGGCCATTGAGGTGTTGCTCGGCGGCGATGACGGTTCCTTGGCTTTCATCCCCAAAAGCTTCTCAGTCAGCCCAGGAGAGAAGATTGTGTTCAAGAACAATGCTGGATTCCCACACAACATTGTGTTCGACGAGGACGAGATTCCCAGCGGTGTGGATGCTGGAAAGATCTCCATGAGCGAGGAGGACCTCCTCAATGCCCCAGGGGAGACATACGCCATCACCTTGACTGAGAAAGGTGACTATGCTTTCTACTGTTCTCCTCACCAGGGAGCCGGCATGATCGGCAAAGTCACCGTTAACTAATTATTAATTCAACATGTTTATTTCTTCCCCCCTTCTAAAACTTCCTTTTTTGGGAGGTATTAGTAGATCGAGCTTTCACAATCAGTATATTCATTCACATGAGATGAGAGAATGTTTGAGGTGTGATGAACCATGTGATATTATATATTGCGCGCCTTTCTTTGTTTCAAGTTGTAGATTTGAGTGTTAGCTTGGGTTTCATTTTGTCATTTGAAGCATGTTAAAAATACAGATGATTAGCTAAACCTCTGTTTCTGCGTTCTGATGTAGCTAACATACGAATACGATTAGCTGTGTAAACCCAAAAAAAAAGTAAAATAGTAAAAGAAAGAAGGGGGTGCCTGCCTGCAGCCTTGTACTCCCCCCCCACCCCTGTTGTTAAATTAGAAGCAGAACCTCCTTGTGTTTTATAAACAAGTGAGAGAATTGTCATGTGGAAATTATAAACTAGTGAGAAAATTGGAGGACCCAGCCAGCCAGCCAGCTTGCCTGCCTGCCTGCCTAATTGGTAAGGTTATTAAGTAGTGAGTGCATCAGGAAGAGTGGAACGGGCTCCAAGGATCTTACCGCCAACATCAGGGAAACTCTCTCGTCCAGGCAAAGCACCTACCTTCCCATTGCCATCTACCTCAACTGGGTATTTAATGAGATGCCCTTGTAATGCTGCAAACTCATCTCCCACAAACTTCGTCCAATTCTCTTCCGCAATCAAGTTCACTCGCTTCACACACTCCAAACTTTCAGCCTCCTTGAAGCAACTATCCACCATCCCTAAGTGTTCTGCCCACAGTGACATTCTATACCCATAGACCTGATCATCAAAACATATCAACAACAAATTAACACCCTCCGTTAACTCCCAAAAGTGTTCTGCCCACAATGTACATTACATTGTGCAATGTAATACAATCAAATTAAGAATGCAATACCTGGCCACGGGGATGCCGCTTCTTCTTGCCCCACGTGTGATGCGGTTGATATGCACCCATGGCTATCTCGGTGTCCCTAGAACCAGCCATGGATCGTTGGTTTATATTCGCAGACCCTATGATCACGTACTCATCATCTACAACCATTCCCTTGGCATGCACATAAATCATAAACCGTTGAAACTTTTGGGAGGCCGAAACCTGAAAACGCATTCCACAGGTTTGTATGCCATCATATGTCATATATTCATGGCTTGAGTGACGGAAAATAAAAGTTTAATATGTAGCTCTGTATAATTACCGTGTGATATTCTCCATTTCCAGAAGTTTTGTTAACTGCACAGGACACTGTGTCTGGTATCTTTTCCCGATTACCAAGACAGTAGAAATTTAAATAGTCCTGTGGATGAACATTCATAAGGTTCATGGATTTCAGCTCTTTTGCTATGATTTCATACATCATTTGCATTGTTTGTCCCTGAAAATAATCAACAAGCCAATGATAAGTGATAAGATCCAGTATATAAATGACAAAGGCTTTTCTTGCGATTTGTTTGGACTTCTGGGGAGAACCACCTCTTATGTGTTTCTCCATATAATCACTTTAAGTGATTTTAAGTTATTCTTGGCAGAAGAACTTCCCATGTGCTTTTTCATAAAATCACTTAAACCCACTTAAAGTGGTTATTTGGAGAAGTGTTTTTTGGCCTATCCAAAATCACTCCCAAACGAGCCATTAATTACCTGCCAAAAGAGAATTTCTTGCACAGCAGCAGAAGAGGGCACACCCTCCGGCCACATGGGTATGACGATATACACTGCAAATCTCTCATTGGCTCTTATCTTACTTGCAATCTTTAGTGCCAACTCCATTGGAATTAAATTGTCAGCACCTGATCATTGAAAAGTTATATATATGTTAATGACATAGTGCTGGAGGAAGTCCATATATATGTTTTCAGTACCGGAAAATCATATATAACAACCTGCTTCTTTGTAAGTAGGCCATCCATATGATGATCCGAGGAAATACTGATTCTCAATATAGATGAAGTGTTGGGCAGATCGGATTGCCTCGATGTATGCTGTTTGGATGCTCTTGTCTATTACCAAATTTTTGGCACAAACAAGATTCTGCAGTAGAACAGAATGCCAAACAATCGACAGATTAGATTACCAAATTTTCTGTTTAAAATTATTTTAAAAAATAAACAAAAGAATATGTTCTGAAGTAAACACATGCCAGTAGACAGTATAAAGTCAGTTTATAATTAATTAAAAGCACTGTGTGTGTATTGATTTGTTGGAAAGAATAGTCAACCTGAGCCTCTGCTTGATAAACATCCTTAGGAAATCCTTTCAGAGATCCAGAATCTATGGATCGAAAGACCTGTCAATTCCATACATATAAAATAATTAAACAGCTGCTAATTGGGACGAATTAGCAATAATAGAAAATTGAAGACCAAAGCATGCGCGCGCAGGAAATGCCAGATAGTAATACCTGAACATGCCAATTTTGAGGGTCATCTTCATGTGAAACCCGTAAGGCGGGATCATCGTTGGAAGTTGAGGGGGAGGGACTAAGTATCCATGAGATCCGCTCCAACTTTATCAAAGCGTCATCGTGCCAACGAGATACTTTTTTGAAGCGTTGGCCCAACTCCGACCACTTCGTGGCTCTTCTCCAACGCTGCTCAAAATTAGTCAGCACATCGTACGCAGCTGGACCTTCAATCTTGCAATGTAAGTCATGCCACGGTTGTCTTGGACCCCTTGTTCCTCCCTACAAATATCATTATGGTGGCGTTTCCACAAACAGTTAGGGGGCACTTGAGCAGAAAGAAATGAAAAATAAACACAATACAACAAGTACAAATAAATATAGTGCTCACAGAAAATGTAGGATTATGAAAATCATCGTGGAAAACAGTGTCAAGGTCGCGAAAAAGTCGATGCTCGGGAGTATCATAGCGGCCATCACAAAGGTCTAGACCTCCTATGAATGCAGTAATCTTTCGATTATTTCCAGATGCTTGTGTATCCACAATCACACATTTCTGGTGATGGGTAAACAGAGTTCCAACAACCTACAGAGAACATGTTTGATTTGACCAAACTTAATCAGCAAATGAATCCACCTAACTTAATTAAGCAGGTCAAATCAATAAATAGCAAAAAAGGGAGTGAAGCATGGATTAATAAAGCATGCCTGTTGCTTGAAAATGCTAAGCTTACTGCTGGCATATCGAGGTGACAGCACGCATGAAACCGAAGAGTGCTTAAAAAACTTGCGTGTTTCTTCGTCATGAGTTTGCATCACTCCATTCTGCATCCCATTAATCAAAATCAATCTTGATCATTTCTAGTAACTTGAATTAAATGCTCCTATCATGGATTGGTCAAGAAAATTTAAAAAAAAATGAAACCGTGGTGGTACCGTATTGATGAAGAATTTGCTGTGAGAAGTCTTATCATCCCAAACCAGCAACAAAACTCGCAGGCCTTCTTCGGACTTGTACTTGAGCAGCTCCCCCAAATTCAAATTCCCACCGCTCGGCAAAGGCTTCGTGGGCTCTCTCACCAGCTTCACCTTATGAAAAACGGACCAACCCACGATATACACCAAGTGATGTGCCTCCAATATCGCATGGCATATATCCTCCCAACACTTGCCGTGTTCAAACACAACCCCGTCGTCCAATTCTATCTCCCCTAGCATTGAATCCGGCACGTGTGCGTCTTGATACAGCGTCACGTGCCCTCCTTGCCTCACCGGAAAATAACAATTTCGGATCCCGAAACGGTCGGGGTCGTTTGAAATGCCTTGCTGATACGTCGGATTGTCCTCGCATTTCGTGAACCTCATCTCTAGCTTAACGGCAGCGTCTGGTTTCGGCGGCTTGCCCAATGGCCCGATGATCGGGAACCAATCGCTGATGGTTTCGCCGGAGAGGATTCGCTGCGCCGAAACCGATGCGATGCCGATTAAATCAGCGCCGAACATGTCGTTGTCCTTGACGTAGAAGTCGACTTGGGAGACCGGGTGGGCGAGGGGGATCGTGAAGTGCTCTTTCCAGGAGGGGTTCTGGGAGTTGGAAATGACCCGCGTGCGAGCGACGGTGGCTCCGGCGAGGCAGACGGTGACGTAAGGGTCGCTGGTGATGATATTGTGGTGAGAGTGGTGCGGCGTGCCACGCGAAAAAGGCTTTCGGCAAGCCGAGAAGAAGCGGCGGAGACGCTCGGAGACCATATCCATGTTAGGCAAACACCGCGCTTCTAGAATGTTCAAATCGAGGTCGCCGTGAAGGTAGACCACCAAGGGCTGTGATTGATCTTCTTCCGCCATTGATTAATTAAAAAATTTAATCAGATGAATGGAGGGTGAGGGGGGAGTGAGCAATGCGAGAGTGGGCGTTGGCTGTCGCGGGAGGAACCAGGGCGACTGACGTTGCCTCAGAGCGTATAGAATGTATCTACTTAGCTTGGCTCTCGAGGTCCTCCGACGAAGCCAACGGCGAAAACCGGAGGCGGTAAAGAAAGAGCAGCAAAAATGGGGGGAAGAGGTTACGACCTTTGTGCGGGGAAAAACGTTAGTTGTGGTTTGTCAGGCTGTATAAGTAAATTGTGTGTGGGACACGTGGAGGCCGACATAGGCGAGGATTACCACCAAGTGCAGCTTCAAATTTAACCATTTTCGGAAGCAAAGGGATTTTGTGGGTTGGCGCCTTGGGTGGGATATATTTTTTTTAATTTTCTCGTTATGTTTGGAGGTTGGGGGGTCTTCGTCAACCTCCAAATTTGCAATCAATCCTTTTTATGATCCAAGTGGCTTTTAAAAAGAGAAAGATGAGTGGACATCCCTTACCTTTCCATTTGAAGTCAATATACATAAGGGAAGGAAATGGTTTAAACTTTGGACATCATAGCACCTTCAATTTAAGACTCGTTGTATTTTAACCCTTTTTGGGCAGTTTTAATGAACAAAAAAGAGCAATATTACTTTCCCTTTTGATTTAGAATAAAGGGATGTCACTTTTGTCGTTTTTGTGAATTTATCTCCATGATCTAAACAAAATTCTGTTTGTCAAAGGCCTTCAATTCTACTTCCATATTTTGTATTTGTAATTTCTTCTTAGGAGCATGCACAAACAATTGTCCGCCACGTGATGGTATTGGTAACGTTGTGAAGGAGGTTACAATATTAGGTATGATTTGCTGTCACTCGGAACATGGAAGATGAGTTGTTGTCTAACCCAA